GTGAGTTCATATTTCCATAGAAGACTATATGTTAAGACCATTTACGCCTGGGCACGGATAATCTTCTTGTTATAAGTAGTTTAACAATCAGTTTATTTATATTCCATAGCACATCTCTTATTTATATTCATCAGATTTATAGATCACATCTGATTTATAGATCAGGCGCTGGAGTTGTTAGAATATCTATATATCCAAGTAAATTATACTATATAAATATATATTTTTTAACTTCTTCCGGCAACATTTGTTTAATTTTAAACTAACCAGTCAGGCAAACATGTGATTGATTAGTGGCCCATTTGCCTAATGTGTCGATTATTTAGAATTTATTTGATTGCTAATAAGGCAATCTGTGGAGCAATTGAATGTCAATACACGCACATAAAGCGCCAGACTGGATGACACAAAATACGGCCATTTATTACTCCTAATATGCAACCGAAGTCCGACTAATCCCCCACAGCAGATAAAATATTTGGTGCCATTCGATGGCCGCAACATGAACAAAGCCACGTCGTAAACTGCGCAACCAGGCTCCGATCTCATGGCATGCCGAATACTGAATACTGAATACCGAATACCGAATGCCGTCAGTCGAATGGAGATGCGTACATTTATTCCGTTCCGGTTTTGGGTAGTAGCACTTTTTTTTGTTGTATTCTGTTTTTCATATGCCTAGTGCGAAGAGCAATGCAAGGGATTCAAAAAATTCCCAGGCGTATGGTACGAGTGCGCGTTGCCGTCGAGATGCCCATCTAATAAATTCAACTAATTAATGGCGAGTATGAGAGCAGCAGATTGACTCTGTGCGCCACGTCTGCTGCGCCGGTGCCGGTGCCAGGCTGCACATTAGCAAAAATCTACATGATATTGAGATGCCGATGCCGATGCCGATGGAGCCGGAGCCGGAGCAAAGTCGATCTGGTCTGGTTGGCTCTGTGCCGAGCATAGCCGCCTGTTTGGCTGCCCAACACCAGCTGAATTCCTGGCCATGAAGAGATCTGCTCATTACGGTGTCGGGAGCGTGTGGCGGTGACGTCCTTAGATACAGATTTCTTATCATTAATTAAACTTAAGCATGTTAGCTACCGTGTTCACAGATATCAGGCGCACTTGGCTCAGTCTCTTCTTCCGCTGGGCTCGGCTCGGCTCGCGAGGCCCAGTCGATTGATCTTGCCCAGCTCTGCTGCGGCGGCACACGCCTTATCGCAGACATGCAATCGCCAGCGCCTGGTATTCCCCTCCCAGCCCAGCTGGCAGCCCGGCGAGGGTGCAGATGGAAAACCTTCACGAGCGACTTTATTTGTGGTCGCCATTCGAGCAACTCGAATGAGTTGGTTGAATATTTGGACACTTTATTTTAAATACTTGTTTCGAGGTCGACAAAAACTAATTGTCGGCTGTTTCGCATTGCTATATCAAGTGGGATAAGGGTCTACAGATCGTACCAGAGCTCTAGTGTGAAAACTAATATTATGCAAATTTATATAAGAGAGCATCGCTACCCTTTAAGGAATCAAGATATATACATATATTTTTGTTGGGGCTCATAAGCTGTCGGCTGTCGAGCTCTCTCTATCTCACTCTCTCCCTATCTGTGTCTATCCAAAAGTACATCTTAAGGAAATACTTGAAAGACTTTAAGAGCTGGACGATTTAAATTTAATGTGGACCCTCATATATCATTTGCAGATACAGTTGTGCTTGACTTTCGGGAACTCTACTCAATACTCCAAAATCTTTGGATATCGATAAATATCAGCCACATCTATTAATGCTTAAAAGAGTTGAATTCAGATCACAAATATACCTTTATTTTCTCCCAAGCTTCTTGTCTTTCTCTCCTACAATAAAGTTCTTATTAAATAATTCCGGGCTTAATAGCTATGGGATTTGAATAGAGTATTTATATATTTGTGTGGGGAATATATAAAATATATTTCTGATCTTTAAGTGCCATTCTTTAGCTATGTTTTATCTGATTTTTGGCAAATAGTCGGAGGAACGGAAACTACTGAAATAAACTTAATAAAAACAACAAATAATTGATTAAAAAGTTGCAAAATAGTTGGAAATTATAAAGACCAATCGCTAGGGCTCAAAATAATCGTGTGTCAAATAAAACTGAGGGAAGAAATGAAAGTCTAGGACGTATATGTGTCAGACATAAATGGCGAGATTTGATGTCCAAAAATTGCTGCCTCCGGCACTCGCAGCTCTGCCTGACGTTGTCAACAATGTAATTTATCAGGCAAGCGACATAATTACCTGCCACTTATGGCAATAAAAAGTGTCCGGCCCATGGGCAGCTAAAACCGGGACTGCGCATGCGACTGCGACTGAGACTGGATCTGGCTTTGGCACCGGGCAGGAGGCGCATTCAAATGCTGTCCACAGCAGCGGCTGCGGCGGCCGTGTTGCTAACAGCTGAAGGATTTATGTTCTTACAAAACGCTCCAAGGCGCCAAACAAGTGAGCCAAAGACGACGTCGACGACGACGACGACGGCGGCGGCGACCGACCGACGAACCGATAGATTGATCGTCCGTCGTCCGTCGTCCGTCGTCGTGGTCGTTGTCGGGCGGTGTCCGGCACTGAGGCGGGCAATGGGGCGTATGTGCAATGAAAATTCCCGCCGTTTGGTAGCCACCGTTTAGCGCCTGCCTCGAGAGTTGCATCTGCAACCGCAACAGATTCCCACAACAGCTGCGGCAGCTCCGCTTTGATCTGTGTGTGCTAGGAAGCTGTGAAGTGCTTGCAAATCTTCAGCAGGAGCTTCGTGTCGTTGTTGCTGCCGCTGCAGCTGAAAGCGTTGACAAGTCACATGAGCATTGTGCGAGGTTGCATGCAACATTGCCCCAACATTGCGGCTATTGTTTGTGTTGCATTCAAGCAGAGGGCGGTTTGCCATTTGAGGGCCTGCAGAAGGTGTAAAGGAAGATTAATTAAATAAGCACAAGTTGCAGTTCTAACTTTTATTAATATTTGAAAATGGAATTCCGTTTCGTTTGGCATTCGGTAAATGTAGCTAAGCTCTGTTTATTACCCAAATTGATTAAGTATTGCTCAGTAAATAATTAGGGCAAAGACAATAAAGTGAAAAGCCATAGCATTACTGATCTAAGTATTTATATTGTCTTTGACTAGGATATGCCACATAAAGAATGCAAATAAGCTGCAAATATCTTTTATGCATTTCAATATTTTATTGAGTATGCGCTCTCTCTAATAATATTCATGGACTATATTTGACTTTGACCTCGCTGTTGCACTGAAACCCACCTGTTGTGGCTATCATTTGCCGTTAGATAATGCTCTGCCTGACTTCCTAATGCAACAAGAAACACACACACACACACACACACACACACACACATACGCACACACACGAGGCAGCCAGACAAATTCATATTTTATTGGCTCTGACCATGCCCGGCGAGGCAACAACATTAACAAACAATGCGCCAACAGCAGCAACAACTGTTGCAACAGCAACAACAATGGCAACAACGATGGCAACAACAACTGCAACAGATCAATGCAAAGCAAATATTTTCACTCTATACTTGTTTTGGGGCTGTCTGTTGCCTAATCTGAATTCAGCTTCTGGTTGTTTTGGCCATTGTATTAGCTGTTGTTGTTGTTTTTGTTATTGTTGCTTTTTCGGCCAAATAGCATTTTGAACATAATTTTCATATGTCGGCCTGGCAGTTATAATCACGTTCACAGCTCGTTAGCCGAATCGCAGGCCACAACCCACCTGTAGCTGCCTGCCTGCTGGCTCCTGCCTATTGCCTATTGCCTGCTGGCTGCTGGCTGCTTGCTGCTTGGCCATAATTGTCCGGGCCACATATCGTACATAAGAGGGGCCATCACCATCACCATATTGACCATTAGACGAGTGCGTTTGCATTTGTGCATCTTCATCGATTTCACCACTTGCCGCGCCGCGCATAATTGGCCGGGCCGGGTCAACAGAGCCGCTGGCAACAGGCAACAGGCAGCAGGCAACTTGCCACTTGCCACTTGCAGCAGAGGCAGCAACACGATTTTTTTTGTTTTTGACTTTTTTTGTGTTTTGCTTTTGCTGATGATTACCGATATTGCCAGGCAGTGAAAAATGCGTCGGCTGCGTGGAAAACTTTGCAGCAGCGGCACATTTTCCAGCCAAAAAAAATCAAAAATTAAATCTGGTGCCTGCTGCTGAAAATAGGCATTTGCCGGCGAAGAGACTTGGGAAGCGCTCGCCAGGAATGCCCATTCGTATTTCGAAGTATTCGCGCACCCGCGTGCTATGCAGCTCGAAAATGGAAGCGGGTTGGCACCCGCAGCTGACACTGTATAACAGAACATAGGCTGAGATATTATTGCCGTCTAAATTGTTTGTAAACAGATTTCTAATAGCTATTATCGTGCAGCTCACAATAAAACTGGTTGATTAGCTCACTGACTAACGAACTGATTGACTGAATGCCAATTAAACTTCTTTTTTAAAGAAAAAACAAAATAAATAAAATAATGTGCCGCTGTTAGTTACACATAAATCGATTTTATTTTATTTATTTAGTTAGCTACACAGAAATCGATTTTGTTTTATTTATTTTATACTACATAATTCTCTACGCATTTAGCACCAATTGCACTTAAGATGACTCATCATAGTTCAAATTAGGCGCCAAATTGTGTTAGCTGTAAACTTACAGCATTGCCAGCTATGCAATCAGTGTGGCATCACTATATGCCACTAAAAACGAGTAGTATGGCAGCACTGCTCTCGGCTGTTACTAAATAACAGATGACTGTTAACTTGACTGTTAATCGTATTAGTGCTGGCCAAGCAATAGCAATAGCAACACCCATACTAATATACTCCATCACCAATAATAATGACGCCAACGCCGACGCTGGCAGTGAAAGCTTTTGCCAAGCGCCGCTTGGTGCTGGCTGTTTCAGCATTCCAACTTCGGCCTCAGTCGCTATTCATTTTCTAACGGTAACGGGTTTGCTGCGCGCTGTCGTAGACAAAGCTTGCGCCGTTGTCGCCGCCGTAGCTTTTTGCTACACAAACAATAATAATAAAAAAAAAGCGCTAGACAAAATAATAATAGTTGCTAATTGGCTGCCATTGTCGGTTTAGCTACTGGTGCTCTGTCTGTGTTCATTAAATAACATCAAACTGGTATTTAAAAATTTCCAAAATTGCGAACAGTGTAATAAAATAAATATAAATTTACATTGAAAATCCTTAGTACATACACATACACTGACATGTCGCGTGCTGTAATTGTGTGCGTGAGTGTATAGAAATGCTTCAGTGCAGTAAGTTTTAGCGCATGCGCCATTGTCCCCCCAAGTTGCTGCCAAGTTTTGCATTAATTGTTTTTCGTCGAACCAAAAAGCATTTAAAATTACAAACACTCCGAGCTGATAAGGTATGGAAGGGGGCGGGCCATGATTTGTTTATTAATTTACAAACATTTTTAGGCTAAGCTTTGCCCAAGCGCAGCGATGTCGGCTGCGCCGATGTCATCGGCGTCGTTTGTTTGACTTGCCTTCCCCTCGCTTCCCTATCAGCCACCCACAGCCATACAACCAGTTAAACCAGCCGCATTTGTACTCGCCCGCCCGCTCATCTACCATGCTCCACCTACACCCGCACATTTACTACGCGCGCTTTGCCGAAAAGCTTTTGCCAGTTGTGCTCTGCAGCGTCGTCTGCTATTAGCGTAAGCTTTTTCTTTCATTCAAGTTGTTGGAGCGTCGTCGTCGACGTCGTCGCCGACGTTGACGTCGTGGCCGTTATGTTGCGTGAAAGTTAATTCCGTTTACTATCGGCATTCATCAACATCATCAGCGGCGTTTGCGTTGGCGTTGGCGTTGCCACTTTGCCATCATACCCCTGACACTACCCCTGCCACCTGTCAAGGCACTGTCCTTCGCCCAGCGTCTTTCTCGCCGGCTTTAGCATTAAGCATTTAAGTCATAATTGACATGCTTTTGACGATATGTGCTGACAGATAACTGTAATTTCTTTTCTCTTTGCTGTGGATTCTGTGAACGCTAAGAACTTGCCACGATGATTCATTCAATGATTCTAAGACTTAAGTCTATAATAAAAGCTCAGCAATAGCTGTTGAAACGGGAAAATGAGACCATAAAGAAGCACTTTAGATAAATATAGCTAAAGAACACTCGCACAGTTAACTACGAGATGTTTGCTTTTAAAGTGATGAAAAATGTCTATTCGGAATGATTAAATAACAAATTAGTTTTTGGATCCACAGTATTTAATTCTCGTCTTCTCTGTAATCCGCCAGTATGAAAACACGATCTTTCTAAAACTTAACTAAAACCATTTACAATTCTAAGGTCACTTTCAAATTCAACGTGTAAATTACATGTGAAAAGACATAATCCGCTTTTTGGCTTAACATTTTCAGCGAGACAAAAACCCAAATTGCGCCCAACTAAATCAGAGCGTTGTGCAATTACTAGCATTAGGGAACAGGAACGGGAACGGGCAAGGGAACGAGAACGAGAACATTGTGCTCATTCGCATCATTCAGTTAGCTCAGCTTCTTGCCACCGCCCCCAACCCCCGTCTGGGTTCGTACACCTTTTGTTAACATGCCTTTCAGCAGCTCAACGAAGCTGAGAGCTGAGTGGAGCGTAGCAAGAAAGATATTGCACTTAAATTGCACTTAATGAAGCTGCATCATCACATTTTGCATTTCAACCGCCTAGACTCTCCCCGCTCCCCGCTCCCCGCTCCACCCTCCACCCACCGCACTCTCCTGCTTGTCGGCCCCCCCATTCGCAGTGTGTACGTGAGCAGCTTCTTGACTTTTGTGGAACAATGGCAGCCACTTGCATTCAACAGACAAATGAGTGGAAATTATGCCAAGACACTGGCAATTAATAAGTGGAAAAGGCGACGCAGCTCTTGCTGCCACCTACCTCCAAAAGATTACAGACCAGGTTCAAGCCTAGACCCAATCCCACAGCGGTACAGCCGCACAGCCACGGCTTGTCTCATTTGCTTCATTTGGCATATTCGCCTGATTTGCATTCCCGCTTTGCCAGCCAGCGGCAATACATAATAATCCCAACATCAGGCACAATCAGCAGTTGGTAATTGTTATGGGCCAGGTCTCCATTGTTGTGTGTGCCATGCCAGAGTCCAACAAATATACATAAACAAGCACGCAAGTTGGACGCTGGCACTGGGCACACAAACAAACACACACACACCCACACACACACACACACACAACAATCAATATAAACGCATTTTCATAATTAATCAATGCTGAATAATTTGTCAGGCTGGGCCAGGTCAGGTCGCCATGGTTTGACATGGCCAGCAGGGGCTGCGGAGTAATCTGTGTTAGTCTGTCTCTAAGGTTTGTTTTTGGCTTTTATCAGTCGCAGTGGCGGCTTTGTGGTTACCCACGTGACATATCAATACGAAAACACACGAGCGGATTTATAAGTGGGCGGACCTGAGCAGAACAACAACAACAAGCTGGCTTAAGCTTTGCTTGCAACAACAAAGCTTAAGCCGAATTTTCTTTGGCGTTTGTCAATATTCATGGTCTTTAGGATTTACAAAGTCAGATACACTTTACAATCAAATTTGTATTCGTGCATGAAATAAATAAATTTTTTTTTTTGGGCATATTACAAACATGCATACATTATATTTGTACATTTAACGAACTTTCATTTGCACTTTAAATCGAATTGAAGGAAACATAAAACTAAACGCTTATGCTCACATTTAAAACGATAAAAAGTATGTATATCTCTAACTACAGACTACAACAAAAAAATCATTTTATTATAAATTTAAGAGAAACCTTTAAGATAAAATCTCTAGCAAAGTGTTCATAACCTCAAATGTTTATATTTACCTAGTCTAAAAAGGACTTTGCTCCTATTTGACTTGCTCGCAACAAGAACAAGAAATACAACAACCAAATGACTGAAGCAGCATCCCAGCTAAATTATCCCAAAGGCCGCAGTCTCCCCACCCTGTGTGGGTGTGAGTGTGTGTGTGTGTGTGTGTATGAAATTTTGCGCATTATGTGTATGTAAAGATCATTAGTGTGCAATTTATACCTACATATGTATATGCAGTACATTATGTAGATATTTTTATATATTATACGTATATCGATTTCCACCAGTTGCCCACATCGAAGGCAACGCCAAACGCGGCATTGTTAAGAATGATTAAGAGGCACACCGCACGGATTGACTACGTGGGCGGTGGCAGGACCTGCGTGGTGGACAAAAAGTGCCTGGAGTCGCACTCCAACTCCCACTGCTGGTTGGTGCCTGGTGGCAAGCGGCAAGCGGCAAGCGGCAAGTGGCAAGTGGCTGGTGGTGTCAAGGCCAAGCGTTAGCGTCAGGTCATGTGGGAGTACGAGCGTGTGTGTGTGTGTGTGCTTGTAATTATTGAAGATAACGGAATGGGGCTGTGCTAACAATATAAACGAAATAATCGACTAAAGAACATTTGATTTGTGAAAATAATCATGAGCTCCAAAACTATAGTCATCTGAATGCCGTTAGTGAGTCTTTTACAATATTTAAATCATAACCTATAAGAGCTGGAGACCGCGCAGTACAAGTGTTTCCGATAATCGATAACCTGCCGCTTCCCTAGCAATCGAAATAATTCGATATCGAAATCTTGGTTTTTGAGCCAATTTCTTATGTAGCTTACAGAATAGCATATACAGATCAAGTATCTTTCATTTATCATCATTTATAGCTACCCGCTGCTAAGAGCTAGGCCAAGCGATTAAGCAAGAGTTCAAAAATGTATCTTTTAATAACCTTACTGCAAGTAAGGATAAATCATAGCTAAACTCTATACCAATATATTTGCTTCAGCTTGCGTCAGTTGGCGAACTCAATCAGATCCTATCTGTTAAGTGCATTACGGACTTGACTTTCCCATGCAGCTTGTTTGTTATATGCGAGTGCATAAAGTCAATTGAACCGCTTTATCTAGAGAGCCGATTAGGAACGGAAACGGAAAAACGTTTGCCAAGGTTGGCATCAAATTAATGGTAGCAAATGGCCAGAAGACCGAAGAGGACAACGCAATTGGGTGCCATCAGCAGACAGGACTGTAATGAAGCGAGGAACATCCGCACACACACACGCACACACACTCGCACACTCGCACACAGAGGCATATTTGCTCGGTTGTGGGTGAATTCCGCGAATGCTCGCGGCTGGAATAGCAAAGGAGCAAGCCATAAATATTTTTCGAAATAAATTCTCGTTTACAAATTATGATTTTATGACTTTTTGATGGCGTAGCCACAAAACTTCCCATACACACAGTCACGCAGGCACACACACACACATACATGCATCATACATACACACATACAATGCAGAGCAGGAGCTGGTGTTGGGTGCTTGGAGTCGGGGTCGAACTTGGGGTTGGGGTTGGAGCTGTGGCAAAGTGTCGTGGCAAATACTTGCGTATTTACCACCTCGCTCCATCTCATATACATGCACATATATCAATATGAAAACACACACACATGCATACGCACACACACCCCAACGCTGGAATGTTTCACACACTTTACATCTTAAAAAAAAAAAACAAAAAATTGGCTCAAAAAGCAAAATGCAGCGATGAAAAAGTTTAAAACAAAACCAAAAAAAAACAGCTGCAAAAAAAAAGAAACGTTATTACTGAAAAGCGCGCATAAAAATTTCGAGTTGAATGCAACTTGAAAACACATGTGTGTGTGTGTGTGTGCGTGTGTGTGAGAGTTTTTGTGCTGGCTGCAGCAGCTGCTGCCATTTCCCAGGCTTTTTCATTTCCCTTTTTTCGTTTTTGTTGCCTACTTTTCGGGGCCGCATAATTTATGACCGCCTAGCATTAAATTAGCCAAAGCGCAGCATGAAAAATGGCCCCGCAGACGGCCGACGGCAGCGGCGACAAGCGACGTCCGGCGCTTATTAGGCACAAAAAAAAAAGAAAAAAAATACAAATAAAAAATGAAACAAACAAAAACAACTTCGCTCCACAATTGGCGGGGCGGCGGCCCTTGGGTTAAGCTTTGCCTGCAAACACATTGTATGTGCCGCAAGCTATTAATATTTCGGTGTGATTTTGGATCGGGGCACGGACGGACGGACCTCGTCTAATTAGTCACAGCGCGTTGATTAGTCGCCTGCTCGGCTGGATGTGCTAACTGGCGAAGCTGCCAGCCATAAAGTGGCAAAAACTGTTTGCCAACGAGGGCGGCAATGAGCGTAATCCCATTATCCGACAAACTGTTTGCGCTGTTAAGCAATCTTGTCAAACAATGTTTTATTGAGTCAGCTCAGTATTTTAACTTATGTGGTACGTTGCAATACCGCAAGGAACTGTCCAGATTGGATAGTAAAACAGAGTTTAAATTTGAATAGATTAACTGTTATACAGAAATAATGTGGAAAATGTTGATATTGTTTGTAAATTGTATAATGTTAGCCACTCAAGTTGCCGCATGAGTTGAACCAGCGACCTCACACTGGTTAGTCCGACGCTCAGACAACTGAGCTCTCCTCGTAATGCACATTTATTTGCCTGTCTTGAGGTTTTGCATATAAACATTGACCACCATTATTTACCTTACTTGCAGGTTGCATTTTTTAATACCACGTCTTTGTGCTTAATTTCGTCCCAAAATGAAGTTTTTTACCATATTTCAGCTGCGCTTCTGGGCATTGATCAACTATTAGACATAATGCACAATCTCTTTTATATATGGAAAGACATAACTTTTAAAAGCTTTTGGGCTTAAGCTTTTAAAAAATAAAACGACAAAAAACTGTTTTATACGAAAAAGTTTTAAGCCCTTTTGTTGTCTCATTTTAAAAAGCATTCATTAAGTCCACTTTAAAACTATTTAATTCTGACCAGATTGTAAGCTGCGCAATGCTGCACTTACTGGAGATTATGGGTCCCACCAAGGGGCAGGCCTCTGTAACGCTGATGCATGCAATAATTCTGTATTTGTTTTATAGCTCTGGCTTGTTGTTTTCGCAGACTTCTTGAACTGCCCTAATTAAATACAAGGCTGTGTGTGTGTGGGTGTGTGTGTGTGTATGTGTGTATTGCTATATTTTTCTGTTTGCTTACAATTATGAGTGTGTTGTCATCTTCGTCGTCATCTGGTGTGCGTCTCCGTTGCCTCCCCCGACGCAGTCGTCGTCTTCATTGCCGTCTCAAGGATTCGCACACTTGGCGCTTTTCAAAAACTTTTTGCCAGCCTTGCCTGACGGCTTCATGGGGAGCTGAGGGGCACAGGCAGTGCCAAGAAGTATGCAGCATTGCAATAATAATTACAAATGTTGCACAATAAATTGCAAAGTAAACAGACTCAGGCGACGTCAACGTCGACGTTGGCTGAGGCAGCGACAGCGGCAGCAACAACGCCAGGACCGAAGACCGAGTGCAGTGGCAAAATTACTTCCTGCTCAAGCGTCAGCGGAAATGTACATACAAATGCCACACACTCACACACACACACACAAAAGGAAAGAACGAGGAGCTGATGTCTGCCTGCTCATGGCTGCGTATATTGAGGCTGGGCCAAAGGGGGCGGCACAGGGGAACAGTCACTTGTCAAAAACAAAATCAGACAAAAACTCCCCCCGCGGCGGCGACAAGATGCGTAATTGCAACTGCTGCCGACTGTTGCTGCAAAGGATCTGAGTGCGACGGATGCACAGGATGCGCACAATTCGCTGCATTTGCATACCATCTATTTGTGTCTGTCTATCTCTCTTTCTCTCTCTCTCTCTCTCTCTCTCTCTCTCTCTCTTTGTTTCTCACGCTCTCGCTCTTTCCCACTGGTTCTCTAGTTGCTGTTTGGTCTACTTATTCTTGGGACCAGTGTGCGTGGTATGCAATAAATCTTGGTCAGCAAAACAATGACAAATGTTGTGGCATCCTGTCCAAATTTGTGGTTGCCCTGCGGACACTTCATTTGAGTTCCACTAAACCCCAATTGTTTTCACCTCTGACAGCCGGCTGTCCAAATTAATATTGACCTGACTAATGCTCTTCGGCAAGACAAAGGAAATGAAGGTGCCAATGAGCAACATTTTCTACATTGATTCTGAATTCAACAAGGTGGTCTGTTGTATCGAAGAACAATAAAATGGCCGAGGAAATAGTGGATTTATTAAATGTACTCTCTTTACCTTCTATTTTACGAAAATTACTAAGTTTGCAATTCTAGTTTCGGTGTTTCAATGGGGAGAGGACAGCAACAAGACAATTGATTACGTAATGCTTCACTTAATGAGAATCGCAAAGAAATGCGGCGTTTATGTACGAGTCAAAGTAAAAGAGAATGTTAAAGTCAAAGTGAAATATACGAAGTTGTAGTTTTAACTGCAATATATCATATTTAAGGAGCACAAAAAAAAAAAAAAAACAAAAACTAATCAGAAATGGCCAAAACTAATTTATATGGAATTTTATTATGATCAGCGATTTAAGCTAGGGATAATTATAATATTATATAAAAAATATATAAACAGTAAATGAATCGAGGATTGAAATATTCTATATGTAAGAACTCTTCATATTCAAATCCTTTTATTTGTTTGTGGTTTATTTCAGCTAGCGCAGACGCTGCCATGTAGATTGACGTGTTGGACAGCCATTGTAAGCTAGCGTCATGGTGGAATCGTCGAGCTTGGGCCGTGCGCCGCCAGCGGCACAACAGCCCATACCTCAGCAGCATTCGCCGTCGCCGTCGGGAATGCGTTGCGGTAATTTGGAGACGCGCGTGCGCGGCTCTTGGTACCGTGTGATGGTAACGCTGGAAACGGACTTTCTAGCCGTGAGTCTGGATGAGTCGTGCGAGTCTACGCCTCCTTCGAGCGACAGCCAATCCACAACCCTAAACGGCACACTGGGGTATGTATGATCAACAGAGCGAGCGAGGCGGAGAGGTTACGGGTTAACCTTTGTCGTGGCTTTTGTAGAAGCAATCACAGCGGCGGAGGAGGCGCCAGTCAGAATGGCACGTTGCCCAGCTCTGCCTCGTTGCAGGGCATGGCTGTTCAGGACACCGAACTGGATGGCTCTGTGGGCACTGGCACTGGCACTGGCAGCAGCAACAACGACAACGGCGATCTTTGTCTGAATAACAATAACAATGCGGACGCCGTTGGCCTGGACATGTGCGATGTACCTGATCATGTGGCCAATCAGAAGCGCCACGTACGCATCATCAAGTCCGACAACAACGGTCTGGGCATATCCATCAAAGGAGGTCGCGAGAATCGCATGCCCATTCTCATCTCGAAGATCTTTCGGGGCATGGCCGCCGACCAAGCCAAAGGCCTCTACGTGGGCGATGCCATTCTAACCGTGAACGGCGAGGAGCTGCGCGATGCCACCCACGATGAGGCAGTGCGTGCCCTGAAGCGTGCCGGTCGCGTGGTGGATCTGGAAGGTACGTACCCACAGCCATTCCGTAGCCTTGGCCATGTTAAATGCTCACATTGTTATTTGCCCAAAACATTTGTTCACTGCTGGGACAGAGATAAAAATACAAAAAACAGCTAGATAAATCATGTGTGTGTGCTTAAAAAGTGCCATTGAGTGAGTTGAACTAACAAGGACTCCGCGCTCAAAGTTCGCAACTCATGCGATACAGTGTAAAAAAAAAGGGTCGGAAGTTGCAAGAAAATCTTTGCATTATGCTCAGATTAAGCTAATACGAATTTAAGTTATTAAATAACTGTGGGTAATCATGAATGTTTATATATATTTCAAGTATTTCCATGTTCCAACATGATTGGGTCAGTGAAGATCCTTAATGCACAGCTTCCTTCGGCGAGGCTTGTTATCAGAATGCCATATATTTAAGTCCAATTAGTTGGTTAATTTATCGGTTATATTCAACCATTAAGAATTTTGTCAAAATTTGTTCAGCATTATATTTGTATTTCCTAGTGAGTATTACATTTTTGTCAGTGTAGCTGGCACGGTGCATTCGTGGGATTAGTCAGCACAACATGGAAGCTACTGCCGGCTGATGCTGTTGCTCTTGTTGATGCTGCTGCTGCTGTTGCTGCAGCTGTATACTGTTATAAATCCCCCATCAACAGCCCCCGCACGGCTTGCCAGTTGACTCTTAGCTGTTGACTGCCGTTAGTTACGCTGGTTTGTTGGCCCGACTCGTTGGTTCGCTGGCTCGTCGGTTTGTTTGTTTGCCTTGGCTTGGCAATGAGTAATGAGAAAAGTTTTCTTTCCATTTGATCAAATGGACCCAAAATACATACATAGTTGCCATGCCATTGGGCGGTATGGCGGTGGGCGTGGCACAGCAGTTGCCACCGCCTTGCGAATGGAAATAAATGCTACGCACTATATTTTCATCTGTTGAAGTGGCATGCGGCATATACTACACGCAGCCATGGAAATACAGGCAGATACCCTTGGATAAAGTCAAATCCTGAATCAAATTTGACTCTAGAAGTTGACTAAAATATCGCAAAGGCAAATTGCACTTTAATAAGCATTTATCCAGGCCAGTTGATGTACCAGATAAAAAATCTGTATTGACTGGCATATAACTGGTATAACTGGGACTGAACTAAGTTAATATGCTTTTGCAATTCAATTCTCAAGTATACAGAGCTGCATTAGATGTGCTTTATATACAAGTAAAAGTAATTCGCCCAATCAAAAGAAGTCTCAGCTCTTTCCTGCCAGAGACATTCACGGACTTGTGTAGCAATTGCAAGAGGCATCAATTAGGCGATTGCTTGCGCAGAGCAAAGAGAAGAATAGAAGAAGAGAGAGAGAGAGGGGGGGGGGGGTAGACGAGTTGGACGGCTAAGCTCCAAGGCAAACAGTACGCATAAACAATGCAATGGCCCATAGAGAACAATTTAGCTGAGCCAACTTCCTTCTGTGCAAATACACGCTCATGGAATTGACTCCGATGCAGCCAATTGAAATTCCAATTCCAATGCCGAACCTGGCAACTGTGGACTGTGGCCAACAGCTGGAAACAAAGAACAAACAAGTGCATAAAGGCTGGCTACAAATATTTAATACAATTGCTGGTTCGCTTGTCAGAGAGTTGGGTTTTGTTTGGTTTGGTTTAGTGGCGACGGCGCAAGCGTTCGCTGCGTATGCGTTGGCGCCCGAGCTTGGGCTGCTTGGGCTGCTCCACGGCTAGGATGAGGCGACCGAATTGGGCGCCGGCGGCGTTAATGGGCAGCAGAACCAGGCGACCGCTGGCCAGGCCGAGAGCCGCAGCGTTTAGCTCTTCCTCGGCCTCCTCGGCCTCCTCGACCAGCTCCACCTGGGACTCGTCCGTTTCCAGTTCGTTGTCGGGCTCCTCGAGCTCGGGAGCGCCATAGCTGCTGGCGGGCGTATTGGGCGCGCCGTAAGTGCTGGCTGGTGTGGCTGCCGCCTTGATGGCAATCTCGGTGGCCGGCAGCTCTTCATCGTTGCTCAGCGGCGTCTCGGCCTGGTCCAGGGCAGGCAAATCAGCAACAGGCTGCTGCTCAGTAGCAATGCCATCAACGGCAACAGCGGCAAAATCCTCCACAGCCTCGCGTACGGGTGGCTGAAAGTCTCGAGCAGGCGCCTGGGCAACCACCTCAACAGTGTCGTCTGGACTAGACGCTGACTGCTCGGGTGCACCATAGGTATTGGCCGGTGTGCGTGTATTTATCTGCACATCCTGCTCCAACAACTCGGTGGTGCTCTGCGTTTCTGTGGTGCCGAAATCTTCCACTGCGATCTTGGTAGTCGCTGCCGCTGTTGTTGTGGCTAGTGGCTCCTCCAGTTTGGGCTGTCGCTCGCTGGGCAGATCGAAGGGTATTCTTGGCCGGAAACCAGCTGCCGGATACGGTGTGCTGGCCAATTCCACCTGACGCTGGCTCTTCAGCTGGCGCCGCTGTGGCCTTGCCGAGATGGACACAGCCAGCAGTAGCATCAGGACTATTCCGGTGAAGATTTGCATGTTGCTCGTCGAACGTACGTTAACGGTATGTGACTGGCTGCTGTGGGTGCACTCGCTTTTATAGCGCATTACATTTGTTAGCTGGCGCTGAGGGATTCTACATCAGAATTCAGTAACGGTCGCAAGGTCAACTGCGCTTATTTTTCGGCTATGATAACGATAATAACTCTTGCCCAGCCAATGCAAATGGGACACAAGTCGCAATATTTGCGCATTTAAAAACGTATCGAAGCCCATCAAAGCAGCCATCAAGCTCAATGTTAACGCCGCTTTAATATGAAACAGCCCTCAGCCGGCCCCTCGTTGCCCTCAAGGCACGTTCCAACGGCCACGTCCCCGTCCACGTCCGTTTCCATGCCCATGACGACGGCTTTGTCGTCGCCGTCGTCGTCGCCGTCGTCGTCGTCATCGCTAACGTGAGCCGCATGCTACGTAGCTGATGAGCTGGTCGCACATGTCGTTGATCCATTTCGCCAAAAGTTTCGTCGCCCCAAAATGAAGAGCGAATAAATGCTGAAAAACTAATCAAAAGCCACTTGCCGCATATTCGATGCTCTTACATTTTTCACCATAGAGCACATTTCTTGGGTGTGTTGTTTTACATTTAATATGCGCAAACAACAAATATTTAAAATAAGGCAATAGTTTGTAAAATATCTCTTTCTTCAAAGATGTAAAAATATTAACAATCAATTTGTGTTTAGTCCTTAACTGTTGTAGAAATATGTAATTGTCAATGTAATTAAGTCAAAAACTTCTTTGATATATACTTATTTATACTATTAAGAGTCTGACCCAGGTTGCGCATGGGCAAGGAAATAGTCTTTATTAGTCTTTTATACATATATAATAACTGTCTTAAAGGGTTAAGGTTAATAAATCAAGTTGGCTTTATCATCTTAATTTTCAGCTGTAAAATCATAAAAAAAGAGATAAAGTACATGCAAATTTGTTTATATATATATATATTCTCTATGCTTCAACTGGTTACCTTGTTACATTCTGCATTGGCCAGCTAATATCTCCTGCCACACGACGCACAGTAAGTGCGTCTCTTGTTATTGCGGATTGCGCTTATTTAGGCAGCTTTCATAATTTCAATGGGGCTATTCATTAAATTAAAGTGCCCCAGATCTATAAGCACGTAAAATGGCACAAGCATCCATTAGCATTACCATGACAATCCCAATCCAAATCACAGCCAAAATGGCAATCGCATAGTGAAAATGGGCGGCGACAAGCTTAACAGCGATCTGCTTCGGCTTGGGTTGGCTCCTTGTCCACGTTTAGGTTCAGGTTCCCATTTCCCTGCCCGTTTGCGTGTTCAGCTCGAACCTGAATTTACAACTTGGCCAAGTCGTTTGCCAGACTCTGGCGTTCGCTTCTATCCAGTTTTGGCCAAAAGCTGCCGCGTCTCAGCCGTCTTATTGTAATTTAAATAAGCTGGCGGCTGTAACTGGGATTCTGGGCGCCAACTTTTGCCGTCCAGTTGCACAAAATCCAAACTCCAACTGCCAAATGTCAACGGCAGATTTCGTCGCCCAGGCAAAAAGCGTCGACGACAGTTGGCTACGTATTCAGGCACCGTCTTTGCCCCCGCCTCTGCCTCTGCCTCTGCCTCTGCATCTGCCTCCGCCTCCCCCTTCGACTTCTTCTCAGTCCCTGTCACTGCCTGCCTACCAAAAGTCCATTAGCAATGGTTTTTACAGCTTGGCATACTTTTGTGGGCATGCCAACCGTCCAAGTGTGTTCACTGGGCCGCCCGCATCCCAGTCCCGCCAAAGCCGGGCTCCCCCGTTCAAGGGGACGAAGTAAATTCTTCTTCCTTTCCGGAACGCAGCGCGTGAGATTTTACTCTAAAAACTTTGCGCAAAGTTTTAACGCACGATTTGCGGGAGCGGCAGCAGCGCCGCCTGCACTTGATATCATATTTGTGCGCCCATGGCCACGCCCACTTTGGCTCTATTCCGGCTTGATTTATGCAGGCGGTCAGGTGCCGCCAGCTTATCGCTTCGTTGCCAAAGGTGTAAAAAACTTGCCCCCTTGTGCTCGATGGCCAGACTTTTGCTACTCCGAAAACAAATAGCTTAACACATTTTAATTTTCAACTTATCTAATCGCTAGAACATTTTAAATGTGTGTATTTACTTTTAAACCCATTCTATATAAAAGCAATAGCGGGTATTACCCGGCGTTGACAAGTCATACCTTTTAACCTCACATAAAAGTAGCACATGTACATGAAACTCGGCTCTATTTTTTCACACTTCCAAGTTTGATAATAGGCAAACCCAAAAGTGTATAAACATTAACAATTCGATTTCTTTTACTAGAAATATTAACTTTTGATTTTTAAATTTGGTCACAGTTATAATCTATGTGTTTCATATCATTTTCGCATTTGTAATCTGCAAATGTATTTTTGACTACAAATTAAGCAAACAAGAGAGTTGTATATGTGTTTGTGTGTATCTTTGTATGTGCTTTCATACAAAATATAAAAGCAGGCTTCAGTTAAAGCTGCGCCGCGGTCAAGTGCAGATGATGAGTTTGTGTAGAAATATAAAAGCGGATCAAAGTAAGCTCGCAAGAAGAAGAGCCGATAACATAAATAGGGCTGCCCATTGCAGCTGGGTTTAGTTGAAAATGCGACGCGGCCCAGTGCAGATGGTGAGTTGGTATAAATAGCGGATCAATGTATCACAAATAGGGCTGCGGAATTAAGGTGGGTATAAGCTACTGAGTGCAGATGGTGAGTTTGTATAAAAATATGGATGGCGAAACAATGTCAGATCAAAAGCAGTGTCAGTAGTACCAAAAAAAACCGCTGCCCATTGCGTCTCGTCTTGAGTTGTATTTGCGATGGTGAGTTTAGATGGTGAGTTTGTATAAAAATATGAATGGCGAAACAATGTCAGATCAAAAGCAGTGACAGTAGTACCAAAAAAAACCGCTGCCCATTGCGTCTCGTCTGGAGTTGTATTTGCGATGGTGAGTTCAGATAGTGAGTTTGTATAAAAATACGAATATCGGATCAACGTCAGCTCGGAGAAGGAAAGCTAAAAGAATAAATACGACAGCTTCGTCTGATTTGATTCTGTTTAATTGTTCAAATATATGAAAAGCAGAACAGGCATATTGTGCTGTTAAAAAAAACGCATTAAAGGTGGATAAGTGTTTATTTTGTAGTTATTTCATTTAACGATATACCTATAGCAATTGGTTTATTTTTATAGTCATTCTGGCTTTCAAACTGTGTGCAGGTCATGTGGGGTTATTTGTTTATAAAGCATAGTACATTACATATACTTGCATACATATACACGCATGCAACATAGCCTAAAGAGCAGTTTACATTTGGCTTACAGCATTTGTAGTTTGATTGTTTTATATATGTATGTGTGTTATTCCTTTTTTCTGCGACTGCAACTTTATTTGCACTGAAATGCAAAAGTTTGCACAACTTATTACAGTTGTTATTGTTGTTTCTAAACTTTTGCGTTGTGCCCCGGCTTGTTTGCCTTTTAGTGCACTTCAAGCTTACCAATTCTCGTGCCCAGCTCTCGCTAACCCGCTCACCCGCTCAGCCCGGCGCCAGATCCCAGCAGCGCCTCACGATAGGCAACCTTTTTTTTGTGCCTTATGCTCGCTTGTTTGTTTGTCTGTCTGTCTGCCTGTCGGTCTGTTGGTTGTCGGTTACATATTTTTGTATGTAAGTGTTTACCGAGCTGCGAGCTTAGGCAACGTCCACTCATAACCCTTTGGTGCACGTAAATGCCAAGCAATTAGTGTGGCGATGCGTCGAGGAGTGCGGGCGGGTCCGTGCTGCGGGGACTGTGAGACGGTTATGTGAGCCCTGATGCCGTCTGCTCTAATTAGTTGGGCTAAGCGCACGAATTGAGCCGCATAAAGCGACTTAGCCCCCGAAACCGCCAGCCGCTGCCAACAGTTGGCATTAAGTGTGAAAATTGAATTTCCAAATCACTCGAACGACAACAACGTCGCCAACGGAAATGTGCAAATGTTGTGGGCGGAACTCACACCCACCGGACTCGAGAGTCTGATAAACGTGTATATATCTACTTCAAGCCACCTGCCAGCAGCATTTGCATAGAAGCTGCACACTGGCGCACATGCTATTGAAAACTTAGTGAAACATTTATAGATTTTTTTCAATTTTACTGTTAGTATGCAAACAACTTTAATTAAACCTAAGTGAATATTTACAATATTCTTCTGTTAAGTCTAACATACAAATGCCATTATATAAACCGATCTGAGAGTAAGATATTGAAATGTTCAACAAACATTCTATATATATTTTTGCTATAAGTATTTAAAACAATGTTAGGCATTTAGGACGGGTTTTTAGAGTTGATTAGAATGCATTGCGTCGAGCCAGCTCCATTAAGCAGATACTTATTACAAGCTATATACAATAGTGAATGGCATTTAATGACCTTCAGAATGGTTGACTCGAATTGCAGAAGCTTTAGGTATTAGCTTAGTGCACAATTTCGATAAGCATTCGTCCCAGTGTGCGACGAGCTTGTCCTGGGCGTGTGTGCAAATCGAATAAAAATGGAGCGGAAACTCTAATGAATTTATGCCGCAACGTTTGTGTTTGACGCTGACGATGGCAAGGACGGACTGATTGAATACTGTGTGGTTGATGTCGCCACATCCTGGTGCCTGGGTAGAGCTCACCGGTGGCGACACGTTCTATTGACATGCATATTCATGGGCTCGTATATTGATGTCTGTATTTGCAGTTAAATTTCTGCGCGAGGTGACGCCCTACTTTCGGAAGGCGAGCATCATTTCTGAGGTGGGCTGGGAGCTGCAGCGCGCATTCCTCTGCCCATTGGGTCCGGGCGCGCCGACATCCCCGCCCGCACCGACGCCCAAGACAACGCCGCGAGCAGATACGCGCTACATACCGCTGCAGCTGACGCATCTGGCGCGCAATCTCAAGTACATCGATCCGGGTAAGTGGCCTTTGTCCGGTGCACGTAATCCTAAATTCAACTATATTGGCGCTTGCAGAAAACCGTTGCCTGGAGCTGCACTCGCCGGATGGCGTGCACTCGTGCATTCTGCGTGCGGCCGATTCCGCGGAAGCCCTGGTCTGGTTCAATGCGCTCCACTCGGCCATGGGCAGCAGCACGCAGCGCTCCCTGGTCGAGGCCAACCGTGCGCTGATGACTCTCATTGGGGAGCTCAAGCACATTGGTTGGCTGAGCAAGCGCCTAAACGGAGGCGGCAGCTCGGGCAGCGCCGGCGGTGGTGGGGGCAGTGGCGCGGCCAGCGGAGGTAGTGGCACCTCGAACAGTGGAGGCGTCGCCGGCGAGGTGGTAAGTGTAAGTTGCATTTTTGTTAAACATATTTCAAATTTCGGGCTTAAATATTTGAGCTTAAGTCGGATCGCTCTTCAAAAGTCTAGTCTCTAGAGCATGTTGCGAATTCTGTTATTAATTGAAGCTTTCATATATATATATTTCAAGCATGATCCTTTTTTTTTAATCCAACAGCCCAGCGGTCGCTCCAGCTCGGAGAGTTCCGATGAAAGCGACAAATGGCTGCCCATTTTTGTGGCAGTTACCGAGCGCGAGTTTCGGATATACGAGAGCGCACCCTGGTCCGTCGAGGCCTGGAGTCGTCCATTGGAGAGCTATGCGCTGGCCACCACAAGGTTGGCCGGCGCCGGCAACAATTCCTCCCTAAATGTGAGTTGTTGATGCAGAGCTAAGGGCATTTAACAGGCTACTAAACATATTTCCATTTTGACTAACAGGGCCAGCAGACAACGGTGTTTTGTGTGCGCTGTGGCACAGCACGGGGTGTCCTGGTGTACTGGCTGCGCTCGGAGACACATCGGGATATGGCCGCGTGGGCGCGTGCCCTTGTTCAGGGCTCCCATCAGGCGGTCAATTTGCAGCGGGAGTTCTCGTTTCGCTGCCTCTACCAGGGCAGGCAGTGTCAATTGGTTGTGCACATAAATCGGGGCTTCTTCTTATACGATTGCGGTGGCTTCGCCTCATCCACGCCAACTGCGGCGGTGGCCAACAAAACGCAGCTCTGGCAATTCCCATTTGATAAGTTGAAAGGCTCGGCGGACGACGGAGCTCGCATGCTATATTTGGATTTTGGCGATGATGGCGAAATCGTGAGTGCCTGCATAATATTAATTACTCAATCGAACTCACACCCCGTATTCTCTCTATGCAGGAGCTGGATATGGAGTGTTGTCCAAAGCCCGTTGTGTTCGTGGTACACAATTGCCTGTCGGCCAAGGTTCATAATATTGCCTAAGCAGCGTCATTTGGGCCAAATTCTTTTAAGCGCAATAGAAAAATGATATAGCAAATAATATTTTACAATTATTTTTGTTGCTATTGTTTTAATTTAATACAATTTAATTTAGTTAATAGTATAAATGTATTGTTTTTTTTATGTGATTAACAAAATAATGTGAAAAATAATTCAATTGATATTATAATTAAGTTAATTTTGAGTTTGTTATTTGTATTGCGCTTGAGAGTAAGTCCCTACATATACGAAGCAGAAAGTTGGATGGCGAGAGCAACGGCGCCGGCGAGTGAGCATTACGTGCTTCCCGATGGCTATTGGGCTATTTGTAAGTTTAGAAAAAAGAATAAAAAAAAGAGAAATAGTAAACGAAGTAGAATCTTTCGAGAGAGTACTAACTCGAATACCGACAAGCACAAACCAAAACATTTTTTACATTGTAAGTAGACGTAAATTCATTTTATACGTGCGTGTGCCATATACACACAGATTAGAATATACCATCTAAAAGGCAGAAATCTAAAATGAAATCTAAACCAACTTAAAAAAGGAATATCTAAATGCAAATCTGATATCTACATTGAATACACACGTTGAACAATAATTATCGTAATTGTACTTAACTAATTGTATCTTGTATCTAAACGAAGCACACATATCTCGATGTATTAGGACCCTAAAACTTGGCGTCGAAATTGAAATCGTGTCGATCATGTCATACTCCACATAAATACCTACTATAAATTCATTATACATATATACAAATACGACAATTTCAAGCATTTCCCCACTCTACTTGTACAACAGCGATCGATCATATGCAATTATTATACATTATACCAACATATAAGCATGACATATTTGTTTTATGAAATTCCAAATTTCGTTAAAAAGAAATCCCAAAAACCAACCAAGAAAATCAACATAAATCATAAACTTAAGGCAATATGTATTTTTAACATAAGTAGTGTTGAATCTTCGATAATAAACTTATATATACATAATAAAAATAATACACATAAATGAAATATTTTCTATTTTTCAATTTCCATAAGTTTCAGCTAAAATATACTTATTCTTCAACTAACTTTAAAAAAACAAGTAAGAGGTTCTACTCGGGAGCTCCCGACTAGGGGATACCCTGAACCCTCTTCTTCCAATATCAAATGCATATATATATTCTATTTTAGAAGCTATATGTCAAGTTTGGTGACTCTAGCTCTTATTATTTACCAATTTTGTCCAAAAAAAACAGGATATCGATATCGATTTTTATCGATTGCTTGGAAACGGAGTAAGTTATCGATTATCTGAAACATACTCGATCTGCGCGGGAGCTAGGAGCACCTACATCTAAAATTTCAAGTCCCTAGCTCTTATAGGTTCTGAGATCCTTGCGTTCATACATACGGACAGACAGACGGACATGGCTAGATCAACTCTGCTATTTATGCCGATCAAGAATATACATATATACTTTATGGGGTCGGAGATGCTTCCTTCTGCCTGTTACATACAATATACCCTTATACCCATTTTTAATGGGTTCAGGGTACATAAAGCAAAGCGAATGTTGCGCTTTATATTTCTATTATACTTTATTTACATATTTGAGTTTACAAGAAAATTTCCCATATTATATTACACATTTTTGGTTGAAAACTTTCGGTCGACTAATTACTTAAAATATATATTTGACATTGAGTTTAGACTTCAAATGTTCGAGTACATTTATAGGTTACCTACAGTGTTAAAAATATATATAATTGGAATATATCGGTTAAGTAAACTCAAATTTTGCTATTGATTACCATTCGGAAATTCCAAATTTGACAAAGACGGAATGGCTCAGATTTAGGTTCATATTGTTTTTATTCGATCTTTTTCACAAAGTCAAAAGGTTTCATTTAACCCAGTAATAGTCTTCAAAGATTTAAAAAGCTATTGTTATTGGCATATATCAGTTAAGTAATGCCGATTTAAGAATGGTATACTCTGACACTTATATATTGTCTTCTCTTTATTTCCCTCTGTTTTAACTCGTCATTCCTTGTTTTATTCTATTTATTTATTAGTTCTACTTGCCTAACCCTCTGTTTATTTTTTTCAAGTGTATGCCTCCAGCGTGTGTGTGTTTTCGGGTAAGTACATATTTATTTACGGACAATCTTCCGGCCTGTTAATATATTAAGTAGTTACATTTATGACACAGTTTAGCACTGGCTTTTCGCTAATATCAATCATTAGGTAAAATTAAAGAAATTGTATTCTACATTTAAGTGAATTTCCTTGCAAGGCAAGTCTGTTATTAAGTTAGGATGTTCGTTTAGCTCTCTATAATTTATATAAAATATCAATAGATATATGTACCCAACGAGTAGAAGAACATGTGGCTATTTATTTCAATTTTCTCAATTCGCATTTAAGACGAAAACAAAGTCACCAAGTGTACGTGCCCGGCATGTCCAACGACTGGCACTGGCTGGCCGCAAACTTTACCCAACAACAACAACAACGACAACAAGAAAAGCAAGTACATGGCAAAGTGTTGAAGCACAGCTGCTGGGCGAGTGGGCGGGCGGTGTGGGTGTTTGGGGGCGGAATGTAAAGCGATTTTGGGTCTGACTCTGTGACCATCATTGCGGTCAACGGGCAGGTTTAAGGTGTAGCGAACAATGTCCGCCTTTTGGCCTCAACGTTGACACGATGACCACGACTGAGGCGCTGGACAAAGCAATCAACCACACATCCACACTCACACACACACATACACCCACACACACACAATCGCACACTCACACGAAATTACATTTCCGGCTTGGGCAGCATTGCGGAAGCAGCGCGTCGATTTGAACGCTTCAGGGCTAAAATTATGACAGGTGCCTGGGATTGGGTACGGAGAACCGGGCGTCCCCACTAGGAATTGCTGAGCAGCTATAAATACGCGCGGTCGGAAAATGTCAGCGCTTAGTAGCACAATCCAATAGTGAGTCAAACAAGCAGAGCAGCAAATATGTGGCAAGGATTCGGCATTTACATGGCATTGTTGCTGTGCCTGGCGAGCGTACAAGCGGCTATCATACGGAGCGAGCAGCAACAGGAGACAACCACAATATTCGACGGGCTGGCAGAGGCTGCCAGCACTACGGTGGCACCAGAAGAAAGCACCACGCACAAAGCCGCGCTGAACCGCGTTGCCCTGAGTCGCGACCAGGATGCCAGCGTGCAAATTGGATTGGCCAGTGTAGATCCTGCGCCGGGCACCATCGAGGGCGACCTGATTGTGGTTGGTGGCAAGCCTCCAATGAAGTCGGCTAAGCTGTTGCTGCTGAGCACGCCAGCCAAGCGGCCGGCAGAGGTGGAACAACAGCTTGAGGAGCAGGACGAGAGCGACACAGCCGCCGCCGCGGGCAGCGGTGAGAGCGGGGTCCCAACCACAACGCTTAGCTATATGCAGGAGCTGGAGGGTACCACCACTGCCGAGAATAGTGAATCTACAACAACGGCAACCACAATTGAGAGCAGCGACCGCCAGACAACAAAACTGTTTCCCATCAATGCGACAATATCCTCGCAGGACTCGTCTGAGCCCAATGTGGCCATCGCCCTGGCCACGGACAATGCCACAATTGCGATTGCCGAACAGCCGCAGGCAGCTGGTGACAACAATGTGGCCATTGAGCTGGCCCTTGTCGAGCCCGAGGCGGAATACGTGCTGGTCGATGTCAATGCTGGCCTGCAGCTGGCATCCCCACCATCAACAGCCACACATGACGAACTGCAGCTGGGCAGCTTCACGCACATCGACAGCGATGCCCACTTGCAGCCTGTGGTCCATTCCGTAGAAATTGTGCCCACCCGTTTCGATGATCCCCTGATTGTTAACTATGTGCACAATTTGCGCTGATTTTCCAACCCGAAAGCACTTTGGAACGGTTTCAAGTTAAAGTTTGTTTTTATGCTAAATACGATTATCGAAAATAACATATTACGATTTAAAGCTTAGACTTAAGAAATAAAAGACAGAATAAAATAAAAATATATATATGCATATAAAAGCCGCAGAATTCAATAACTTGGCATTTAGCGCAAAGTGAAAGCAACATTTGCATTAGGAATACCCTTTTTATCAATTTTCAAACAGTATATTGGCTCTTCCTAAAGCTCACAATTCATTGAGATTTTATCATCCGTTTACAGTACTTCAATGAATATTATACAAATTTGTAGTTTCCGGTTCAGTATTTAGCGAAAGAGTCTTTCTAAAGTTAAATGAACATGAATCAAATCGGTATAAAATATATGGAATGCTTTCCTTGTGAATAATTCAACGAATACAAATATGGAGGAAGAGGAAGAGTCTGAACATATGGGAATCGAAAGGGGCGTTGGTTGATTCGAATGTCCCTATATTAACCAAAGGAAGATCATTTAAGATCATCAATGTTGAGTTTGGTCAAGATATTTTAAAAGAGACAGAGAGAGAGAGAGAGGAATTAGAATTCCCTTTGAATACCCTAGGAAATGCCATAAATACATGTATATAGATTGCAAATGAATACAAATATATTTCACCTTAACTAAGAGTAACATGGATTGATTAATTCTAAGCTGTTAACAATGTAATACGAGGGACGTCCAGTCAGCCTGAGCCTCACCAGCGCTGCTCCACGTGCGTGGTGTAGACAAATCCTCGCCTGGGCGCCGCAATCAAAGGCTGCGAGCGCAGGGGTATGGCAACGGGTATGCCCGGGGAGGTTGGTGCTCTGGCAACCAATGCGGCTGGCCCCAGATTGGCGGTAATCAGCACATTTTCCGAGTCGGGCTCATCCTTGGTGCCCGGCTCCGGGGTGGGCTTCAGTGGGTTTGTGCTGACACCGCAAACAGGATGGTTGGCATTACTATCGGGAGCTGCAGCCGTCTCGTTTACATTGCTTGCCTCCACCTGTTGCTGCTGCTGCTGCCCCAGCTCCAGATTCAGCTCGGTGGGCAGTCGAAAAGCGCGACTTGGTCGATAGCCTGCAGCTGGATAAGGGGCTTTCGCATAGGCGCGGCCGGAACGAAACTCAAAGGGTGCTGATGTGGTCGTGGCGTCCAGGGAATCCAATGTGGTTGTTGTCATTGTTGTAGTGCTCAAGTCGAGTGATTCCGTTGTGCTCGTTGTCCCCTCATCCAGCGGCAATTCCGTTGTAGTTGTACCCAAGCCCGAGCCCTCAGTGGGCAATGCCTCCGCATCGGCTTCGCCCGGCAGCCAGAAGGCGCGTCCCTGCGGTCTATAGCCAGCTGCTGGATATGGCGTGGGTTTCAGCTCCTTAACCACCGCCTGCTGTACATCATCCTCCTGCACGCTGACCGCATAACGATTGATACGTATCTGGCGAGTCTCGGCGATTCCGGTTGCCCAAAGGGCCAGGACTAGCGCGAATATCCACTGCATTATGTATATATCGTAACTGGTGGCGATATATTTCAACTGATTTGCGCAGCGGATGCGTCTGTCGTTTTTATACAACGTTCTCGAACTGCCTAAGGTCTCGGGTGCTCGGTCCGGCTATAGCTAACTGGCAATGAAAGCGAGAGTCGTCTCATTTCGTTCCGTTCCATGTCAAGCCGTAATATCCCAGACATATACATATATATATGCCTGAAACATCATTAGGCGCACGGTTATCACATTTATTGATTTATTTTATATATATACTTTTTATATTTTGAATTTGTTTTGTTTCTGGTGTTTGGGCTACTTATCGACGTCCACCACGTCCGAATCGTCGCCATGTTCTATGGAAATAAAATGCGTTTCCTACGTGATCCGCAAGCTTAAGGAGCTTCCAGTCGGCCAAAACCATTGACAAAACTCCCACATCAATTGAAAGCGAAAACTTGTTGCCAATTGCATTATATGTCTGGGTTTGAATGTTAGAATATTTATTAAACACTTATAATCGATATTTATGCGATCAACGACTGCATGAGGTGGTCATCAAGGGCAGCTATGAGTAATTAACTAACTACCACAGCACGTCACGTCTTATGTTGCCGACCATATTATTTGCCATATAGATCCACATGGGTGTTCCAGCCGTAACTTACAATATCTAAACACAGCCCTATCACAATACTCTTGTTGACCAAAGTTTACATAGATTCTAGGCTGTAAACCCAACAAGAAAAGCGTCGTGGCATCTGCTGCCCGATTTTCTAGGATTTCATTCAAGCTTAGTAATGTTATATATATTTAAAAAATTTAATAAAATATTTAATTTTGTAATTTTTAGCTGTGCGGTCTACTGAAAATATTGCTAACTAAATATATTTTAATACATTTTTATAAGAATATCATTCCATTATTTCCAAGCAAGACTAGATAAATTACATGGATATGGATGGGGCTGGATCTTGGATTGGAAGAAAAATAATGTACAGCTTGTGTTGCTTTTTTTTGAAAAACTATTTTCGTTTAAGGTTCGGTTCAGAGTAAAAAACAAATTCAAGTTGGGATCCTTTGACTATTGCTATATTATCGACGTGGAAGATTTCATCCATGGGACAGAATCAGTTAATGATGGAAACCTAAAAACCACATAAGATTTCCATTGATTATCTATATGTGAGTATATTTTAAGATATTTAATCCACCTCTTCCAGGCATATTGAAAATCAGCCCTACCCAATCAAGGCCAAGTTTTTAAGAAACTAGAACACATTCTTGGTGGTGCACAGGTTTGCGCCTTTCCCTGTCTTGTTCCACTGAAAGTATTCGCTCCGGTTTTGGATTGATTAATGGCGGAACTATAAATTCGTATTTCCAGCTCTTCTGCTAGTTCTTTCTTGTCACGTCGTTAGCTCATAAACCCGCCGATCGACCACTCACAATAGTGCCGCCGACGTCAGAGCATGCGCCAAAAAAGGATGTCCATGCTTGGACTATGCGACGCACACTAAACAGATTCAAGCGCGGCTGGAACAGGTGGCACTTCCACCGCTGCTGCGACAGCTGTCCTAGGTATAAAAGCGCCTCGCTTGGCTGCCAAATGCAGCAGTCGTCGGCTTCAGCTTCCTAGACACACACATTCACCCAATTCACCAAGAGCCCTTCAACAATATGGCCAAGTTTCAAGTTCTGATAGTGATTGCCGCCTGCCTTTTGGCCAGCAGCGAGTGCCAGGTGCAGCGTGCGCGCTCCTCGCAGCGTCTGAGCCGCGGACGTTCCCGTTACTTTGCACGCCAGGAGCTGGCTCCAGCGGATGCGGATGCCGCCGTCACGCCATATCCTTCAGCCGACGAACTGAAGCCGGAGGTGCCATTCGACGAGGCAGCCGCCCCAGCTGCTGCGGAGCCCACACCGGATGCCGTCTATGGCCCACCCGATGCAGCGCCCGCTCCCAACAATGTGCCCGATGAGGTCTACGGACCGCCCGATGTCACTGGCAACGATTTGCCCGCCGACGCCGCTGCTGATGTGCCCGCCGAGCAGGCGCGTCTAGTGGCTGCCAGACGCGCGGCCAACCTGCGACGTGCCCAGCCTTTGGCCTATCGTCGTGTGGCATCCGCAGCGGCACGCCCCGCCAAGTTGAGCGCGGTGCGCCCTCCAGTGAGACGCTTCTAGACGCGGACACTCGTCTGCTTACGAGCTGCCCGAGCCGGGCAGTCGCATATAGCCAGATGCTAGCTGGTGCATACCCAAAACCCATGACGATACAACGATGCTCCATGATGACGGACTACACACACACACATACACACACACACACACACACACACAACACACTATTCACATTTTGAAATGTAATTTTGATTGTAAGCATTTGCAAATAAAATGTTTGGAAAACATAACAAAAGCTCTCAGACATTCTGTCTGCCTCATGAATCACAACGGCTTGGCGGGGGCTGCTCCCCACACGAATAAAATCCGGACGATATGCGAGGCTGGGCCAACTACAACCGGTTAAGGAACGCACGCGTGCGCGTCATATAACATGAAATTGATGACGAACCTCTGCAGCAAGATTACAGAGGTCTGGGTATCTCCCTAACCGCACGAAAGCAGCCAATTCATGACTGAATCGGTTGGGAGTCGAACCATTTATGCCCTAGAAAATTGTTTAAATCTTCTGGCAGCTTAATTAACTCGTCATAAAGCGTAAAGTCTTTTCATACACCATTTTTAATAAATATATTTACTCTGAACCGAATCTTTAATCGAACAGTTATCCCAAAAAACCTCCAAACCTAAATAAGAAACTTTCGAGGGAGGCTAAGCACGAAGTACGAAGGGAAGTTCAATTCAAACCCGAAGTGAATACTTTCAGTGGAACAATATACTGGAAAGCCACAATCCTGTGCACTACTCAAAATTCTGTTCTAGTTGTTAATTTGCTTGGATATATTCAAAATTAATAAGGAATAAATACGGTTTGGTTCTAAATAAAAAAAAACTTTTGAGGGATAATCTGGCTGAGAACATACCAAAGACAGGAGTTTTTCTGGTCTGCATGACGGATATTTGTATTAACATACTAATAGAATGTTAAAGGCTCAGAGGTATCTTTGTACACTTCAGATACTATTGTGACTGAAAGATACAAACAGATACCTGAACGCAAGTTTGTTCAACTTATCACGATAATCGCTGTTAATTTGCAGCAGAGGAGTGGCCGGGCAGGCCGTGTACGGTATAATGTTAGCACTCGAACGAGTATATGAACAGATATGCAAAATTGGTAATTTTAAAACAGGTTAACAAAGAGATACAGAGAAAAAGAGGGAGAGAGATTTTGCAATGAGATTATATTGGTGGGGGTCAGTCTGGGCTTCCATTATATTGATAAGCGGCAAAAGCAGCCTCAACTGGCTTGGGCATCGCCTCTGACGCTAACTCTGCCTCGGCTTAGTCAGTTTATCGCTCGTCGCACAGCATCTGGCTGCTTATTTAAGTGATTGGAAACGCTTTCAGCTCTCAGTCGCTACGAGCAAGGCAACAGTTGAGCAACGTGTCGTGTATTCTGATCTTCGAGTGAAATTCGCATTTATTTAAATCGAAAAACCAATCATAAATAAATAATGTGTAAGAGTTTTTCGTACGTTGTCATGTTTGTCGGACTGCTTGAACTGTCGCAGGCACAGCGGCCATCCTTTGCGGGCGCGCGTCCACCCGGCGGACTCAGCCAGAAGGACAAGTATCATGCTGCCCAAAATACTGCCGTGGAGAACATAACTGGCGTGGACATTGCCACACGATTTGGCGAGGATGCCGTCGCCCAACAGTCGCAGACAATCAATTTGGCCTACGGCGCCGTTCAGAGGCCGCCAATGGGTGTGCCCCTGGTGCTGCCCATAGGCAACAATGTGCCCGATGTGGCATCGATAGCCCCAACACCAACATCAGCAGCCGTTGACTTTGCGAATCGCGTTGGTGGCACAGATGGCACCGTCAACACGCCCATTGCGGGCATCCCGAATGCGCCCAGTGCTCGTCCCATTGCCAGTGCTGGTTCCTTTGCCACTGCTCGTCCCATTGCCAGTGTCGGCGGGATTAGACCCGTATCAAATGCATTGCCCATCGATGCGCATGGCGATCAGGATTATGTGAATCATCTAAGCCAACTGCCCGTGGACAATCAGCCATTCTGGTTCCTCAACTATCAGGCCATTGAGGCATTGAGAAACAGCTCGAGGCCAAATGTTAGTGCACTTGAGAACCGGGGATCTTTCTTTGCTGGCTAAAAAACTGGCTCTCCAGCCGCAAATAAAACAATGCTAATAGTAAATTTATTTAAGCTCGTTTCGTCTGTGCAAAGACAATATAATTATAAAATCGTATAAAGTAAATATAAAATTATTTATATTGTCTTTTGTCTGTATGGTGTGTACATTATACACTCTTACTCAACAAAATTATCTCGAAAAATAACCGGAGGAAATACCAAAACGTGAGGCATGATTTGTGTTTTTTTTTCATGCGATAAGATTACGTTTACACTTTGGTGCTTCATTAATAATAAAATAATATGCAAGCGTATTTAAATACATATTTATAAGTGAATTATACAAATTATTATTGTATGTTAATTGTTCAACCAACTAAAACTAAGCATACATATTTATAAAAACTAAAAAAAAATTATAGACTTAATTGTCGTTAGAATTATTTATTTAGGGCTTAGCCAAATTTTTGAACTGGGAAGAGCATTTAAAATGTATGTTATTTATCAAATTGTTGTCCATTTGGCATACTAGCGAATTTTGTTGCTGTTACTATCCGCGCGAATCTAAGTAATGGAAATCCTATACGAACATAGAATTATTCTTTCTTAATTATTACCAAGCTCAGTTTGCATCCACGAGCTTTGCATTTTCTACTAGTTTTGAAGCTATTATCTAACTGGCTAGCATAGTAATGAGAGCAGCCTGTTAAATACTTCAGAAGGGCAAAAAGAAAACATAAATAAGAAAACCACTCACAAATAGCAATTTATAAGCAGGCAAAGCATGAAAAATGCATTCAAAGAGCCAGAACAAAGGAAAAGCTGAGGAAAAGGAGTTCAGAAATGTGGAAGGAACCATCCAGCGGCAGGAAAAATGCACAACAAACAAAAAAAAAAACAACTTCAATGCAATGTTTGAAAATGGATCCAAACAATGGAAAGTTCTGGCCAAGAGCAGCGGCTCGTTGAGCTTCTTGGGCGCTTCTTAATGGCGAATGATTTGCAAAACAAAAAGAAAAAGAAAAAGAAAAAACCTCGTCGCTGGAGCAAAAGTGTCAACCAGGCACTGAAAAGAGCACTGCAAAAGTAAAGAGTAGAGCACTTCTGTTGAAAAAAACGTAAATTTATATGCAGCTAGTTTAACTTGGTTTAATAGACGCAACAATAGGTTTATATGCAGTCGATCACAATCAATATAACAATCTAACAATCACAAGACGATTTACCAGGCCAGCTGCTGGCCAGCTGCATTGTAGGCAACCACATAGGGCTGCTGGGCACCCAGATAGAAAAACTGTGGAGCCGGCAAGGCGGCTGCCGGCGCAACAGCTGCTGCTGGCGCTTCTACGGGCAACTCCTCCAGGCGGGCAATGCGTTGACGTTGATGCAAACGTTTTGGCTGTGCCTTGGCCAGCTGCAGCTTGGCCAATCTCTGGCGGCTGCTGCGCAGGCGAGCGACAGCTGCCGGTGTGGTCTCCTCGAGCGAGTTCTCCTCGGTATCCAGCTCCTCGGCATCGGTTTCGGGCTCAGCATCAGGCTGGAAGCTATTCAACGCTGGATCCTGCTCGGTGGGCAATTCATCCAGCTCCGTTGACGGAGGTGGGCCGTAGATGAGCGCCGGCTCATCCGGCTTTAGCTCGGCCGCAGAGGGATACGGCGTGGGCTGCACCTCCTGCCTGGCAAACACCTGGCGCTGACGATTAACAAGCAATCGCCGGGGTGCTTCAGCTGAAGTGTTGGCCAGCAAAATAGCCAGGAGCAGCAGCAGCAGGGAGCTAATGAGTTGGTAACGTGCCATGATCGTCTAACTTGTTGTGACGCTTTGTTGCCGTTCCTATATGGAGCTTTTACTTTTATACTCGTAGTTGGCCCCGTGGCCCCGGTTGCGGCGATTCTAGACCAGCCCGCAACGTTCCGCATATAAAGCAGTCAATAATTTGATAGCCCAATCCAAAAACCAAAAAAAAAACCAACGAACTGCATGACAAGCAGGCGCCGCACAGTGCTTCGGAAGTCAATTGTTATTACGTGTGTGTTTTAATCTTGTTTTATATCCTGGCAATTTACCAAAGAAATCTATTTAATAGCTGCTTGAAGACTTGTGAAACTTGAACAGCGAACTACATTTTAAGTCCAACTTCGACATGTTGATCGTAAAGGCTTATCTTAGATAAAATGCGTTCTTGCATAACCTCGGTGTTTATAGTCCGATCTTAATCAAATACCAGGGCCAAAAAACGGCACCTAATTGTGTTTGCATTCCAAAGCATAAGGCTCTGCCTCTAAAATGAGTTTCGACTTTCTAACTTCGGAAGCTATTCAGAATCTGAAAGATCTTAAAGCTGTTTATACCATTTGTGAACCAAGACCCCAAGTTAGATGTAACCAGATCTCATAATCTTCGCGATAGGCTTAGAAAACCATATAGCAAAATTTATAATCATGGATATTATAAATTGGGAAAAGATATCGAGTATAATGATAGGTATGGTATATGAAAATAAATATACTTCAAACGTCAAGACTTTTGCTTTTGTACATTCTTCGGTCAGACAGATGGGCATGGCAATATCTTCACAGGTCCTTTTGCCATTTGCCTGTGAAATTTACACATCTCTTTAAATGGATTCAGGAAGAAGCAGGACTGGAGTAGATTTTGTCACAGTGTAGCATAACAATAAACAGCAGTTAACTATTTGTATATTTTTTTCAACGCATTTTGCACCAGTGTGCGCCCAAAAAGTGTGTGAAGTTCAGAGTTGGGTGGCCAAACAACTTAATGGTAAATGGTAAATGGTAAATGGTTATGGGTTAGACATGGGCCCTTGACTAAATATTGTCACGTAGGTGCAGGTAGATACCATCTTAAGGGTGTCCCTCACAGTGCCATTTATGACTGCCAAAATGTTGTGTATAAAAAGTCAGCGACTGGCGTTCGATATCAACATTCTAACAACACCCAGCAATAGCTCAACATGGCTTTCAAGTTTACCAGCTCTGTGCTTATCCTGGCTGCTATTGCAGCTGTGACTGTGGCGGAGCCGGCGCGTCTGCGCAGTCGCTCATCGCGTTTCCAGCTGGCTCGCCAGGAGGCGGCGCCGCCAGCACCCGTCGATCCAGCACTGGACCTTGCGCCAACGCCCGCTTCGGCGCCTTACCCAGCTGCTGGTGTTACGCCAGCCATAGCTTTCGACCTGCCCACCGAGACGGAGACCGAGGCACAGCCAGATCTGACTTATGGCCCGCCGGACAACACATACGGCCCACCTGCCGAGCCTGACAACACCTATGGTCCACCCGCCGAGCCGGATAATACCTATGGTCCACCCGCTGATGCTGCAGCGGATCAGGATCTGGCACCAATCGACGCCGATCCAGCATCTGAGCCTATTCCCGCTAGCCTGATTCTGGCACGCAGCGGCCGCCTGCGCAGCCGCCGTCCGGTGCCAGAGAAACTGCGCGCCGCTCAGATCATACGCTCCAAGCCAATCCTAGTCTATACCATCTAAGAAGAATATTGTTGAGAATGTTTTTGCGAATTATCGAGTCACTACGATACAAATATTTGTTATTGATTTAAATATATAAAAAATTTGTTGTTGAAAATGAAAAAAAAAAAAACATTGTTATTCACATGTCCCATTCTTGAGCTCCAAAATGGTTTATGAATCTTATATCATTGTTTGAAACCAGAAAACTTGATAAGCACAAGAGTATATTTATGGTTGATTGGCTAGAAGATGCTCCGTACCCATTTATATTATTCATTCAATCTAAATACACTTAAATGGTGTACTTTAATTATGTGTACTTTATTATAAAAAATATCGCTGTTTGTCCTGACGGACTCACTGCTAAATAATTTTTCACGAAAGTCACCTTACATTACATAAGTGCACGCTAAGACCGGGGACAACCGAACTTCTTGGAACCTGGTTGTATGAAACATTTTTGACTACCATCCAAAGAAGAAGATATCTCTGACCCCATAAAATATATATATATAGAGTAGAGTAGATCAGTATCGACCGCTGAGTTGATATAGCCATGTCTAACCGTCCGTCTGTGTGTTCCCATGCGAACTACTGTCTCAGTTTTAAAGCTATCATCATGAAACTTTATGTAAATCCATCTTCCCGGATCGGACTACTATATCAAATAGCTGCCGTAGGAACGATCGGTCGAAAAGTCGTATATCTTGACGAAACTCGGCATGTATTAGTGCCACTATGATCCATATATATTCCAGGTCTTGTCAACATCGGACCAATATATCACAAAGCTCCTATGGGATAGACCGGTCGAAAAGTAGGTTCTTATATATCAAAAAATCTGTTTTCCAAGATATTTTTATCAAGCATTTATGATTTTCACTATTTTTAAATCTTTTTAAAACCGTTGGCGAATCGTTAGCTTGCCTTTAAGGTGTTATGTAGAATTCCCCTTCTCTATTAAAAATTAAAATTTTTAATTGTGAAGATTTTAGTGAGTGAAGAATTTATAAAAATTAAAAAGAAAAGCTTGTCACATTCTGTAGCATTTCTGGACGCATTTCTGGTATTGGCTCTGGAATATTTTATTGTATAAAAACTATATGTTTTTTTAAAAAATAAGCTCAGTTGTCTGATATAGTACTTAGCTCGATTCGACCGTTATGTTATGTGAGAAAAAATTAATCTGTGTAACATATCATCAAACTGTCATTAGGACTTAGAGAGACTTAAAAAAAAAATAACAGCAAAAATTAATTTAGCTAATACTCCCCATTCCCAATAAGTGAAATATCGCAATTCTGACCTTTAAAATATTTGGGTATTTATAAAAAGAACATTATTAAAGGCAATTAATATTTAATGATCGAAGACTTCGCCTGACCTAGATGAGAATTGTGTCTAATGTCGAGCTTCTCCAGACACGTTTCTGCCAAGGCCTGTGGATATGAATATAAAAGCCATCAAATAAAATTATGAATAGCCAAGAACCCACCAAATCAAACAAACAAACGGACGGACAATTCGATTACGACCAAAGGCCTATTGGAATCGGCGTCGACGGCGTGTTAATGAAGAGCCACAGAGACGAGCACTTGGCGCTTGGGTTAGCATTGGCGGCCAAAATTGGGAAAAGGGTCACGTAGCCAGCATTAAAACAGAAATCACAAGCCGACTCGATCGGGGCAACATAATCAGATCCGTGCCGAGCGAACGGGAATAGCAACAACGACTACTAGCTAGGAGGCCTAAAATCGAAAGTGACGAGCATAAATTATGAACAAAGATCTGACGAGAGACGGCTATAAATAAGCTCAGCTATTGGGCAACTCAGAACACAACTCAAGTGATCGTCAAAATGATTAAAACCTCGTCTGCTATCCTGCTGCTGAGTCTGGCCGTGTTGGCCAACTCGGAGCCACTGCGTCAAAAATTCGTACCGCGTCGAGGCCTGGCACGTCAGGAGCAGGCAGCGCCAAGTCCAGCGCCCACTGGCTATCCGGAGGCGGGCATTACTCCCGAGGTACCATTCGAACTGCCAAGCTCAACCGCCCAACCGGAAGCCAGTTATCTACCACCGGATAACACATATGGACCACCGGACAGCGTCTACGGACCACCCACAACTGTGGATGAGGTGGCGCAGCCAGATCAGGTGCCAGAGGTAGAGCCAGAGCTTGCCATCGAAACGGACGACATACCAGCTCCAGAAGATGAGTTACCCGATGCCAAGCAGCAGCCAGCCGCAGATGTGGATGAAGAGGAAGTGCTTGTGCAAGTGGCCGAAGATGGAACCGTAATTGCCGTATCGACGACACTCGATCAGCCCCAGGACAATAAGCCTGCCAGGATCTATCAACGCTTTCCACAGGGACGCCGCCGACAGCAGCCGGTGCCTCAGCGCTTGGTGCTGCGTAGCAGGTGGTAAAATTATAACCTAAGTCATGTAAGGGCTATTAATAAAGTTGGCCATAACAACATAATCTTTGGCTTTCACGTAGTCTAGTCAGCGTTGTTGGGCACGTAAACGTTTGGGTTTGCCGTATAAGTCATCGCGGCGGCGACGGCGGCGTTGGCAATTGGCCTCGTCTGCATTTTGGGCACTGGGACAGTTTGGTCAGTCTATCAATGAAGGTCATCTGTGGGCGATGGGTATTTAAAGCAGCCATTTGTCAGGTGGAAGTAGCAGTTCATGTTTTGACAGCAAAATGTTCGGTGCAAGCTTGTTATTAGTGGTCCTTTGTTCGTTGCTTGGTCTGGATGCTAGTGCGGCGGCTGGATTACGCTTTCCGGGCCCTGTTTTACAGCGTCAAGAGGCCGCACCATATCCAGCAGCTGGTCTGACGCCAGATCCGCCGTTTGAGTTGCCAACGGAGCAGGCGGCTGACTTTCCTGAGCCGGATTTGACCTATGGACCACCTGAGGAGGAGCCGGAACTTATATATGGACCACCTGACGAGGTCTACGGTCCTCCCGATGAGGTCTACGGACCGCCTGATAATACCTATGGACCTCCGGCCGTAGATGAAACTCCTGACCAGATATACGGTCCACCAGAGGCGCCTACGAACATTGATGGCAACAGTGCGGTACAGAGTGCAGCAATCATAAACCTGGCTAGCTTGCGGCCACAGGCACAGCTTATACTACCGCTGGTGCAACGTTTTACCGCCTTCCGGCAGCTGCTGCGTCCCGTGCAGAGCCAACGAAGACCCGCAAAACTGACGGCGCGTCCGCAGAGAAGACCCGCTAAAATTGTTAACGCTGCTTTCCCTGCAACCCAATTGACTCTGCCCTTTCTGGAGCGTCGCATTCCGTTTAGAGCGGAGCGCCTTATTCTTAATGCCCCTTTGAAAAGAAAGCCGGCTAAGATAACCGTTAATTCGCCTATATCTCCGATAGCGCAGTTGACACCCGCTATACGTAGGCCAATATATTCGGGCGGTCGCATTATTGCCTATTCTGTTCGAGCGCAGAATTGGTAAATGATGCCATCACTTGTAAATATATTAATAAAAATAACTATCATTTGAAATTGTGAATTTTTATTGCCGATTAAAGTGCTGTATAAAATTCTGTGTTGATAAATCTTTGATTTTGCGCATCTGGTAGCTCACTTAATATCGATATATTCTATTTAACTGGCAAATCGACACACCACCATTCTATAGAATGTCCATCCCTGTAGCACGCTAAATTGAACTGACGACAACGCTGTATTTTTAATAAAAATACACAAGTTAAAATTTAACCAATTGACTTTATCAACTGATTAAAAAAGTGAGTAACAGCAGTGGGTTCTGCTAAAATACAAAATCCCTAAGCTTTGCCATTGTCGACTTGAGCGCAAGGTAAATTTTTGGCGGACGGGAGTAAGCGATCCAAGTTAATAAACTATTTCTTAGATAAAATGGCAGGAGTGTTATTTGAGGACATATTCAACGTTAAGGACATGGATCCTGAAGGTAAAAAGTTCGATCGTGTCTCCCGCCTGCACTGCGAATCAGAGTCTTTTAAAATGGACCTCATACTGGACATAAATTCGTGGCTTTATCCCATGGAATTGGGAGACAAATTCCGCTTAGTACTGGCCACAACACTGCGCGAGGATGGCTGTCCCGACAGCGGCGAATATAATCCCATGGAGCACGAAGGCACGCGAGCAGACAGTTTTGAGTATGTTATGTACGGAAAGATCTATCGCATAGAAGGCGACGAAGCGCACAACGAATCATCCCGGCTGTCGGCATACGTTTCATTTGGTGGTCTGCTCATGCGACTGCAAGGTGATGCCAATAATTTGCACGGCTTCGAAGTGGATCAGCACATGTATTTGCTAATGAAGCGACTGGCGTTTTGAGTTTTGTATAATAAATCACATTGCGTTTGGAAGTTTCAATGTTTTAGTTCTAATATGCAGTGTTACCGTAAACGCCAAATGCTAAAATACTGAAATTACAGTATTGGAATACAGGGAGTGTGCTCTTAAATGTCGACCTATCGATATTCCCTAATCGAACTAGTTCCACCCTAAACATTACAAGTGAATACGACTGCAGCGGGGTGCAAAAACGAAATTAATTAAATTTTACTAAACAAAACAATACATTTGACATGTGCAATGTAATGTATAACATGTGAAATGAGCTAACATTCTTCCTGGCCTGTGCTAAGCGTTCACAAATATGTTTGTGCTTTTGGGGCTGCTGAAGGTAAACACAAATATGAAGTGTGCAGTGAAAATGGGCGTTTGTTTGGCAAATGCAGTAAAGGTTTAAATAAATAAAACATAAAATGTAGCCAGGTGCTTTGCGTGTGTGCGACTACAGCTGTGAGTGTGTGTGCGTGTGTCTGTGCTTGATTCAGTTTTGTTTTGCAGCTGCTCTATAAATATTCGCACTCCACTGCGGGTAAGTTGCCTTTTTTGCTCTGATTTCCCTAACAATGCGAATTAATTGTGGTGTTGGCATTTACTTATGTATGTATGAAATATAATTAAACAAAATGAAACATTGGTGCTGGTACTTTGTAGTTACTAACAAAACTTCTTGCGCAGGTTTTTGTTGATCTTTCAGTGCGACATAAACAAAAGACTTCAACGTTTGACCCCCACAGCAAGACGCACGCCCTGTGCTCTGCAATTGCGCTGCTCGCCACTGCTGCCTATTTAGCATTACAAAACTGCTGTTTTTTCTTTTTTTTTTTTATATACATATATATATATTCTTTGTGTCCCACACCTTTTGTGACTTTTCGCTGTCGTTCGTGCTTTTTTCAACGTTCTCTTTCAATTTAATGAATCGCTGGCTACCGTACGGCGGCGTCGCTTCCACGTCGGACGCGGGCGACAGCAGAGCTGCTGCAATAGTTACAGTTAAAGCTCTTTGGAAGTGTGTGTGTTTTTTTAGGGTTTGTCGCGCGCTTTCAATTTGCGTTTCAATTTCGTTTTACGCTTCATTTGCGTAACGTGCAGCTGTGTGAACTGTGGCCCTGTCCCTGCACTTGGACATCATGCTTCAATGCTGTTCCCAATTACCGTCATCGAGTACATAAAACTGTGCACAGTAAGTTGTGGCGTGCGCCGCCGCCCTTTGGTTATTTTTTGTTGACTTCAATGAAGCGTCGCCACAGGTCTGTAAATCCCCTATGTGTATGTGTGTGTGTGTGCATGTGTGTGTCTGGAGGGGGTGTGTGAGCTCATATGGGCAATCTGTTCGCCAGATGTTTATGTATAGCATTTCGCGCTAACTGTTCCCAGGGCCGTCATCGTCGTCTATTCTTGATTTTTTTACAGTTTTCTTTGTTTCGCATGCAGTTTTCCTATATTAATATGCCACTTCACTGGAAGTTCTGAGCAACAACTGCAGCAGCAAGAGCAGTTTTATAGTGAAAAATATACCACTAGTTGTATAAATAAACTCTTATCTGACCAGACTTAGCCTTATCAGTTATTGCGTTTGTCGCGCGTTTATCAGTTCGCTCTCTCGCATTCCAAACAAAAGATTGAGAAAACAAACTAAACAACATTTCAGCTTTCCACACATAAGTTGTCACATGTGTGTGTGTGTATATATACACTACCTGGAAATTCTAGCTGATAAAGTGATAAAAACAAATATAGTACTGCTACACAGTAAAAAAAAGTAGTTCAATTCAAGAGTATATGTCTCAGGTTTCGAATTTGATTAGGGCAAAAAAGTGAGAAAGTCTTAAATCAACCACCAACTCACTTGTGATGACGAGCTAAATCAGTAAGTCCTAAACGTATTTAGCTTTCAAACAGCTAATAATTTTTTGCTCCGTGTAATTTCGCGCACTTCTCTCTGTAATTGTCTCTGCCCCGCCACTTGATGTGGTTCTTATCGACAGCGTCAGTTTTTAAAGTTCGGTGGACACAGCTGAAATTCTTATTGTTGTTCTCTTTTGTGTTTTGTTTTGTGAGTTGTTTCGAACGTGGCAATGCAAGCTAAATAATCAACAGCTCTTAACTTTTTCTTGCAGCGAAACTGTAACTAAATCGCTATAACAATCCGAGGTGTTTGGGAACCTTCTTCTTAGCTAAAAATTTTCGAAAATCAGATACCTATTGTAGAAACCTTAACCCCTTACCCAAGTAAATTAGCAGCTGGTGCCGGGTGCAGAAGGCTCTGTAATAGACATAAAACTAACACAGCATGGTACGCAGTCGTCGCAGCCTATCCAAGGAGGATGCCGTCTCTGTGCTCACGGACAGCGGTATATCGCTGTCATCGCCGCCGGCGGCTCGCGATTTCTCGCCCGCTGCCACGGCCATTAAGCGTCGCAAGAGCAGCCTCAACAGTCTGCAAGATTTGTATGTGGATGCAGAGCCCGAAGCCGAGCAGGACTCGACGGATGCCGATGCGGACTATATTCAGCCGAAACCAAAGAAATCACCACGCAAAGCAGAATCCACCAAACGCAAGCAACACGTGTGCTCCCATTGCTCGAAGGAGTTCGGCGGCAAGACCGATCTGCTGCGTCACATGCTCATCCACTCCGACGAGCGACCACACAAATGTGCTGAGTGCGGCAAATGCTATCGTCAGGCGGTGAATCTTAAGAACCACATCACCACCGCCCATGAGCACAAGAAACAGTTCGCTTGCAGCCAGTGCCCTAAATCATTTGCCCTGAAGGAGCGCCTCAAACTGCACATGCGTTTGCATTCGGGCGAGAAGCCATATCCATGTGCACTCTGCGAGAAACGCTTCGCACGTGGCGGTCAAGTGAGTAAAGCAATATCACATCATTTATCCTATATTAGAATTAATATTTCTCATTCCCTTCCCCGTGCAACAGCTGCAACAGCACATGGTATCCCATCACAAGACGAGTATTCAGCAATTCAACTGCACCAAATGCTCGGCCAGCTTTTCGACCAATGCCAATCTGCGCGTACACATGGAGCGACACGAGCAGGGAATGGAGCACAGATGCTCCATATGTGAGAATCAGTTTGCTAATGAATTGGCACTGCGCGCTCATATCAATCAGGAGCACCACAAGCTGAGTCAATTTGATTGTGAAATTTGCCATAAGACCATCGAACCGGATGAGGATCTGGCCACGCATATGCAGAAACATGCCGCAGTCAAGACGCACGTATGCGAGGTGTGCAATTCGTATTTTACCCAAAAGTCGCAATACAATGTGCATATGCGAATGCACACGGGGGAGCGGCCATATCAGTGTCGGGTAAGAGGCGACTATGCAAAAGATGATAATATCTATTTATATTGATGTATTCTTGTAGATCTGTCATCAAACGTTTGCCCACTCCAGCGTCCTAAAGCTGCACATACGAAAACACACGGGTGAAAAGCCATTTCGCTGCCAACTATGTACGGATGAGGTGGCCTTTTCGCAGCTAGCGCATCTCAAGAATCACATGAAAAAGATACATAAACAGCAGAAGCCCTACATGTGCCCTGGCTGCCAGGAGTTCTTTAAAATCAAAGTGGAGCTGCAGGCGCATGCTGAGCAGTGTGGCAAGTGTCAAGCAACAGAGGAACTTAACGATAGCCAAACAGAAGATGCACATACGCTTTCTAACATTCGCTTCAATATTGCCGTTGTGCTGAAAAAGATAAGCTCGGCACAGAAGTTGCGTCAGCTAGGTTATGAGAAGCGTCTAATTGATAATGTTATCATTGCATCACTCAAGCTGGCACAGCGTCCATCACATGACGATCCGACGCTGACGCCTTTGGCTAGGCTGCGTTTAAATGTGGAGGAGTTTCTCAAGTGGATTGTGCCGGCGCAGACCATGCAAAAGTTTAGCGAGGAGCTGCTCTCGATCGATACGATACTCGACAAGATTGCGACCATGTACATGAAGCAGAAGTAAAAAGCAACTATTGCTCACTGCTTCTGACCAAAGCGATTGTGCCATAGAGTAAACGCGCTTAGAATTAGTTCTTGCCATTTAATTTAGCTTAAACCCAAAAAGTTAAATAGAAAATTTTACCAAATGATTTAGTCCAAAGATGTTAGGATTTAAGCACCGATACTTTGAATTTACATTATATTAGTTTTGCCTTTACCAAAAAAAATTTGTTTATTAACAACACATGAAAACACATAAAGTGAATATGTTCCATTATACGAAAACTTGCCAGAGCAGTGCTTACCGCTTAGTTTTTACTTTAAGTTCAATTTAATTCAATTCATTGTGGCCATGCATATTTATTTACAGAGTAGCATTTGAGTCCACATTATTGTCGTTAGTTTACAATGTACAACCCTCATTCACTAAACCAAATATAAACCATTGTATAATCCCAATAATAATTAAGTATTGTAAATGTACACGTTAAGAAGTGAATACCTTTAGCAAGTTTAAAATAAATGAAATCAGTTTAGAGTCAATATTTTATACTTAAATTTACATTACCTAACAACCAAAGTGTCTTTATTTTTCATTTTCATATATTTAAAGTTGTCCATAACGCCCCACTTAAATTCGAATTGCCCTTTTAATTGATTTTTACGATTAACTGCTAGTAATATATACTTTACACATTTGTTGGGTAAGTGGTAAGTCTCTCTTTTGCTAACTGTCTCTATTTTAGCCTATTTAGCAAGTGCATAGCCTACTTCTTTATTCACCTTGGTCGTTATTTATACAACAGCCCCCTATGGTCGGTTGTGGGGGTGTTCGCAAAATAAGCTAACAATTTGACGTATTTGAAATTCGAACTAAAACAAAGCAAGTTCAGTTTTTTCTTAAGGAACGTCCCCTGATCAACTCGAAAAAAACTGTCCACAGCCAACGAGCTAACTACAATAACAGTTATGTACAACTGCCACGGCATTGGCAGTGGATGGTGGTCTGCGATCTGTTGACTGCCCCTGCCCCCATGGGCCCAGTGCTTAAATGCTATATATGGTCGCGTTTGTGCAAATTTATAAGCCACTCACATTAAGGCGGCAAATATTTTTATGGCCATGCTACAACTGGCAGTGGCAGCATCCTCAGCATTAGCCGTTCCACCTGCTGCTGCTGTCCACCCGAGGCTCTTGTGAGGCTCCCCCACCAGATGCCGATTAATGAAATTTCTGCAGCGAATTTATTGAAATGCCCGTAAGTGTCTGCTGGGAAAAACTAAGGCGCGAGAAATATGGCAAATTTTATATATCTAATATATAGATATTTGTATATATGTGTATGTATGTGATTTTTATTGTGACCAACCGCTGGTTGGCGTTGGCGTTTGTCCATTGCGTGTCACTTGATGTTAAGGTGCGCCTTGTCTACGTTCCATGCTCCGTTTGCGGTCGGCTTGGCCACAGCCAGCAGCAGCAGCTTAATGTCTACATTTGTTCTGGCCATTGCGTGTTCAGTGGCTGCCCTTTCCTTTTTCTATGCATCTCCAGCTTCTCGTTGCAATGGATCCAACATCTGCTGCTGCCGCTGCTGCAACCGCTGCCATGGCGCATTAGAACAAATTGTTCTTGTTACGATAGGAGGATGGACATGCCTTTTGCCTTGTTTGGACCGTAGGACAGAGTGCCACTGATGTTGCTCTTAAATACCCTACAAGTTGAGCATCTCAGCAATGCAAGATAACCACAGAAAAGCAACAATCTTTTTTTACTGAAAGTTGGCATATTTCCCATGTTTTTTTGTGTATATTTTGCATTCTGATATGAAATATTATTCAAAGCATATGAGATTACTATTTTTATAAACAGATCAGGTAAGGTTTGAAATAATGTATATCCAAGTCATAGGTATATGTCTTGTGGGTTCTTCACTAAGTAGCCTCAATAACTTAAATTATTTTTCCAGGATATTCAAAAGTTCGGCCTGTCACGCTCTTTAAATTTCCTTCTTTCCGAGTTGCCGTTTTTTTTTTTTTTTCATTCGTTTAATGCGCTGCGAATTCGTGAAACAAATAGTCACAGACACAAGAGCTATGTAACTAAGTACGCATGATTCTTGGTCGGCTTAACTTCATCTGCATGCAGATTTCGTCTTCGCAATGTTAATGATGGGAAAAATGTGTGTGCTTGGAGTGAAGAGGAGGAACTGCCTTCTGTTGGAGTATCCAGATCCATTGCCCAGACGAAAGACACAGAACCTGTGACGGTTCCTGTTCTCGTTTTCATTGTGTGATCCGCAGCAAATTGATTCGGCTTGGGTATTTTGTTCCTCAACCATTTGACGTTGTTAGTTTGGTAAACTCGCATTATATAATGTGCATATATAATTCTTTTGTTGTCTGCTGCTAATTTGCAAATTTGCGCCGACATTGAGGTAATGTCATAGCTGAAATCGCTGCTCAACGGGGCTCGTTCAGAGCCCGGACCAACGGAGTCAGTAATCATGGTCAGTTGTTGACCAGCTTCAACGTTGACTGACATCTAATTGTGTGTGATTTGTGTGCGGAGTTGGCGTTGCAAAATGGTAGCCCAGCTAATAGGCTGCTTATTAAGCTGTAAGTGGTAAGGACTGCATACAAAATTGCAGTCGTCCACTTAAACTAAGCCAGCTGAAGAGAAATGAAAACGGAAAATGAAAACGGCATCATACGAACAGGTATCACTGTAGCCTTGTATTGTAATTTTGTCATGAAATATGTAACGCATAAAAGGAGATACCTTCGACTCCAAAATGTTCATATTTATATTTGATCAATATGACGAGCTGGGTCGATCTAGCCATGACTGAATTTGCAATATATGCCTGCGAAAGGATCTCCTGCATGCTGTTTGCTGCATTTGTCCACCTGGTTGCTTAAAAACTTTCAAGGTGGAATTCGAAACGAAAGGAGAATCTAAAATATAATTGTTTAATTAACACGGTCTACGGTTCCTTATAGGCATAGGCCTGACATGCTATAGCCTTGAAGACACAAGCTAGCCATTATGGCTGTTGACCATGGATGGATTTTCGACAAAGCCCATCTGGCAGCACATGTGTCGGTCGTTCAACTCAACCTGACCAAAGTCAAAGGCAAGTCAAAAGTCATAAAAGATATGCAAGCACACACAGCCTGCCTCTATATGAGCATAAATATGTACATGGTGCACACTATATACAAAGACACACATACATATATGTTGGAGTATGTGCGTCTACATCTGCTGCTGGTAATCCTTGGCCGTGTCTGCCCTTTGCAGCAACAGCAGCAACAACAATTACAAATGAACGACTTCTTTGTTCTGTCAGCAGCAATGGTTGGGCCCAAGTTCGAGTTCGAGTTGCGGTAGCAGCCAAAAGAGGGGGCGTCGTCAGCGTCTACAACTCTCACAGTGCTCTACAGAGCCTACAGTGGCCAGCAGCTGCTACGCATAAAGCATAAGCCATTTGGCTATTTGGATGCGAATGCTGCTACGGATGCAACTTTTGAGGCGTGGGGCATGGTGCATGGGGCGTGAGGCGTGAGGCGTATTGCGTTGTAGCTGGCCAAAACAAATAGATGAGGATGCTGGAGAGGAGCAGCCCGTGCAGCAAAATGTGCAACGTTATCATAACTAAGTGCATGGGATGCGTGTGCGCCCCAAAAGCGCCTGCATATGCATAATTCATGCTATTGAACCCTCTGCTTTACAGAAAACAGACTGCAGACAAGAAACTACAGACTGGACCCTGGACACGGACATGGGCATGAACCTGGAGTGGCTGTGCGGCCTGGCTAGAAAAATTATAATTTCACAAGTCATAATAGGATTTGCAATTCAAATGCGAACGCAGACACAGATACAGACACGGACACAGGCGCAGACGCAGACGCAGACGCAGACGTAGACGCAAATACAGAACTCAACTCCTTGAGTCGAGTTGCACAAATTTCTGTGGAAGGCGCAGTCAACAAATGACGACAACAATGAGCCTCTCACAGCCAAGCTGAGGCCGCAGACGGTGAACAGCAGACAGCAGCCTTAGGTCCAGCCAGGCTATGGGGCCAGACAATGGTTGGGCCAGCGCACGGCCATAGCCAATATGTCAAAAATATTAAGAGACATGGCCATCGAGCGAGGCATAAATATGCAAACGATAAGCGCTCGCCTCTATAAAGTTGTAAAATTGACAAGCGTTGTGCGATGCCAAAGTCTTAAATAAAGCAATAAAATGCGCTAAAACATCGCCATCGACATGGCCCCATCGATGGACGGTAGCCGATCCCCACAGTGGTCCAAATGCAAAAATTAGAAATGAAAGCCAGCGGGTTGCCAGCCTAGAATTTATTCCAGTTGGTTATCCAGCTTGGGGTTTGGGGCATGCAACTGCCACTGTGGTACAAATTATGCTGCGACAGTCACAGCTGACTCAATCAGTGGAGGAGGATGCGCATTCATGACCGCGCTTGGCCATCTATTGATTATCAATTCATGAGTCTGAGCGAGCAAGGTATCAAGGAAGTGCAGCTCAAGTATCATTCAGATAACTAATGCGCTTCCATTGCTGAACATCGTAATAATGTCAACTGTATGCTGATGATGCTCGCCCAATGGGGACACTTGACAAAGACACAAATGCTTGGATGTTGCTACTTCATGTGCTCCTGAATAGTTTATCTCAAGTAGGAAGTGAGAGTTTAACATTCTCGTAACTTGGCCCTGAGAATAACTGGGGTACCTATAGGCAGCTAAGCATTTAAACTGATAACTGTTATTATTATTTATAAATTATGTATTTTTAATATTATATTGTTAAATTTATATACCAGTTACGCAGACTAAACAAGTAAGAGGTTCTAGTCGGGAGCTCCCGACTAGGGGATACCCTCTTCTTCCAACACCAAATGCAAATGTATATACTATTCTAGAAGCTACATGTCAAGTTTGGTGACTTTTGCTCTTATTATTCACCAAAATTGCTCAAAAAACAGGATTTCGATATAGATTTTTACTAATTACTTGGAAACGGGGCAAGTTATCGAATATATATGGATGCTGATGAATGATATATATACTTTATGGGGTCGGAGATGCTTCCTTTTGCCTGTTACATACATTTGCACAAATACATTATACCCTTTTTGCCCATCTTTAATGGGTTCATGGTATAAAAATAGGCTAATTTAGTTAGTTCCATCCGACTGACTTTAAAATCGAGAACTCTTTTATCCGAGCAAAACCGGGGAATATTGGCTAGGATATTGATTATTTCCCAATGGCGTAATTTTCACATCTTCTTTTGTAAATATTTAATATATATCACGGCGAATTTATTTTACTTGAGAGATAAATGAAATAAAAATAATAACAAAAGACTTAGGCAACGAACTTGACAATTTTCTAGCTAAAAAGCAAACGGCCAGTTTTGATTAGGGCTTAAGCTCAGCCTGTGCTCAGCCGCTGCGTCATAAATATTTAAAGGTAATGATGATTTAGCCAGGCGCTGGCCACGTTCCAAAGCTCCATG